TCAGGAGCATGTACCTTGGTTGTGGGCACAACCCCGGTAAGGGGGTGTGCAGGAGGCGGCTAGTCGATGTTTCTCTCTCATTGATGTTTCTCTCTGTCTCTCTCCCTTCCTCTCTGTAAAAAATCAATAAAATATATTTTTTAAAAATCATTTCAATTAGAGTAAAACAAACATGTTACTTCCTAACCACTTTTAAAGCAAATGACTCAATAAACAAAACTAAGACTTTAAAGCATATGACTCTCATCGGGTGTGCTCATGTGCCAGAAACCTATCAAAATGATTGAGGGTCAGCTCCATACTCCATGACTTCCTCTCTTTATATCCCACTTCTCACCCTTACCTCTCAGGGGACCCCAGGCAGACAATCATGCCACTGTAGGACTCTAACATGAGGCCATTGCAATGGCAGAGGAAACAGGCCAATGTCACAAGATCACATTGTGAGTGGTTTGCATGAGTGGAAGAGGTATGCCGCCCCCTGGTGGACACTGTGGAAATTTGTGCAAGTGGCTTTTTGTGTGGGCACTTACATATGTATAAGTAAACCTGATATTCAATTGTATTTCCTTTTGTATTATATGTAAGCATATCTAGATAGATAGATATATGATAGATAGATGATAGATCTAAGATAGATAAACACTACCTTTGAATTTCACTTCAGGATAGTAAAGGGGAAGTTACAAAAACTTGTTATAGAAAGGGGTTTTGTGTCGGATAAGGTTGAGAATCATTGTCCTCCAATAGCAAGACCAGCTACCTGCTTTAAGGGTTTACGATCCCCAATGGAGGCTATCTATTCTAATAAAAGCCTAAGTGGTGTCTCGCCCTCATGTCATCACAAGATGACTGCCTCCATGTTGTCACAAGATCAAGGAAGGGCAGTTAGGGGCGATCAGGCCAGCAGAGGAGCAGTTAGGTGACAATCAGGCCAGCAGGGGAGCTGTTAGGGGGTGATCAGGCAGGCAGAAGCAGTTAGGGGCAATCAGGCAGGCATGCAAGTGGTTAGGAGTCAGCAGTCCCGGATTGTGAGAAGGATTTCCGACTGCCTGTGGGATCAGGGCTAAACCAGCAGCCGGACATCACCTGAGGGGTCCCAGATTGGAGAGGGTGCGGGCTAGGCTGAGGGACACACACCCCCACACATACACAGTGCATGAATTTCATGCACTGGGCCTCTAGTTCCATAATACAAGTGTAATTCCCCTATCTGACCAAACTCTCTCTGGTCTCCTTCTGTCCAAATCCTGCCTCCAGCCAGCCCAGGCCTCTCCCACTCCAGCTCACAGCCTCTGCAATCAGCACATCTTCCTGGGTGTGAACCACCACCTGGTAGCTGGATTTTGCACCAGTTACTTAACCAATCAGAGCTCGGGTTTCCAGCTATTAAAAATGAGTGCCCATACCCACACTCCATGGTGTTGCTGAGATTCAATGAGACATGCACGTGAAGCACAATCCTGGCATGAAGTACATGCTCACTAAATGTCAGAGGATGGTGGTGACACCCACAATCTTCCCCCCACCAACCCTTCCTGTCCCAGGTTCATTTAAAGAGGTCTCTGTAAATATGCACTGACTGAATCAGAGTCAGGTTTCTCGGGCCCAGCTTACCACAGTCACCACACTGAGAGTGCCCACTCACCACACTGAGAAGGCATCATCTCAGCTAAATGGACATTTCCTAAATAGAGAAAGCAGCAAATGAATGACTGCGAAGGCAGGAGGCTCCCTCTAGTGGCACAGTTTATGTTATCTCGGGAAGAAAAGTGGGTTCTGGAAATAGAAAGCCAAGAAAGAACTTGGTGTAATTTTCAAGGAGAAAGACCAAACCAGGTGTGCAACTGAGGCAGCAGCAGTGAGGCCTGAAAGATACAGTGGGAACTTACTGTCGCCTCAGTGGACCAGCTGGTATGCCTTTATTATTTGACTTTACCCCCCAGGAAGCGGCTTGCTCAAGGTCAGGTAGAGCTGGGACGTGAACACAAAGTTACCAACTACAAATCCGGAAATCTCTCCCCTCCGGGACAGTAAACCCCTCCAGGGACTTACACGTTTTACAGTGTTCACAGTACTTAGCACAGGGTTATGCATATATTATTATATGTATTATTGAATGAAACCAATTATACTTATAAAATTATAACTGTGCCCAGCACTGTGAAAAATGCTAATAACACATTTCATTTGTTGCTCACAATAAGTATGAGGTAGCCTAGTTTACAGATAAGGATGTTAAGTTTCAGAGAGGTTAGGTAACATCCTAAAATATAAAGCCTGGCCCTGCCAGCGTGGCTCAGTGGTTGAGCATCCACCTGTGAACCAGGAGATCACGGTTCGATTCCCAGTCAGGGCACATGCTCAGGTTGCAGGCTTGGTCCCCAGTGGCAGGCATACCGATCAATGATTCTCTCTCATCATGGATGTTTCTCTCTTCCTCTCCCTTCCTCTCTGAAATCAATAAAAAAATATTTTTTGAAAACAAACAAACAAAAAAAACAACATAAAACCCGGGTCTACCCCTAGCACACCTCCATCCACTCGACCACGAGTTCTCAAACTGTTTGGTCTCAGGGTTCTTTTACACTCTTAAAGCTTACTAAGGACCACAAACAGCTCCTAATACATATCAATAGTTACAGTTATTAGAAATTAAAATGAGCCCCACGAGGTTTAGCTGAAGGGATAAAGCATCAGCCCGAAACTGAAGGGTCCTGGGTTCAATTCCAGGAAGGGCATGTACCTCCATTGCAGGCACAATCCCGGTCAGGGTGGGTGCAAGAGGCAATCAATCAATGTGTCTCTCTCACATCAATGTTTCCTCTTTCTCTGCCTCTCCCCTTTCCCTTCCACTCTCTCTAAAAATCAATACTATCAGGTGAAGATTAATTTTAACAAGTTTTATTAAAATGGGAATTTTAAAAATATTTACTTAAAACATTTCAGTAGCAACCCCTTCAAATTTTAATATAGTTAACATGTTCATGAAAAATAACTATTTTCCCAAAAAACATTCTAGTGAGAAGACTGATGTTGTTTTACATTTTTGCAGATTTAATATCTGGCTTAAAAAGACAGTTGGATTCTCATCTTCACGTCTGCATTCAATCTGCTGGGAAATCACATTTCACACAGCTTCTACGAAACTCCAGGATGCTAGTGTGAGAGAAGGGTGTGAAAATGGCAAATAACCTTCGAACTACTGTTGAAACAGTCTTGACCTCACACACCCTGAAAGGATGTTGAGGACCCCGGAGTCTCCAGCCACCCCTGGGGAAGCACTGCGCTGTCACGCTGTCTGCAGGTCAAATGAAAAGCAAGTGCATCTACATGAAACCTTCCTAGTGGCTCCTCAAACGCTGCTTCTTGCTCTTTTCCTCCATTCTTGTTCTTCTCCTGGCAACTGCCTATCTTCTCAGCCACTTTTTCCTTCCTCCGTGCCCTGATGCAGCCTGTTGGGGCAGTGGTAAACCTGGAGACAGACTCCCACGAGCAATGAAAGGGGCTCTGTCTTAACTCTCGATGCCTCTCTCTAAAGACCAAGGAGCATAAACTACTAATTCCCAATTGTTATTCCCTTCCAAGTAAAAGAACGGAAAAACCCTCGTTCAATTTCACCCAGGCTAAGAAACCTGGTATTGGGAAGGGATACTCCCATGATGTTCAGTTAAAATAAATAAATGTGTCATTAATAGCAGTATCCTAAAATACAGTCACATACACACCGAGAGGGAACCCTGGCTCCCTGGCTGGCATTCCTGCTCCAGTCACCAACCCTCCCCTGGTCTCTCATTCCCACCCCCAACAGGGATCCTCACTGCTGCTTCCAGACCATGCTCCCTCTCTCAGCCCTAAATCCCCGGCTGGAGTCTCAGGTTATCTGATTGTATCTTCCATTGATGGTCTCACTGCAAACAACCAGGACATTCATTCCCTTTCCTCCTTTAAGAGTTTGGCTCTAGCCGAGACCGGTTTGGCTCAGTGGATAGAGCGTCGGCTTGGGGACTGAAGGGTCCCGGGTTCGATTCCGGTCAAGGGCATGTACCTTGGTTGCGGGCACATCCCCAGTAGGGGGTGTGCAAGAGGCAGCTGATCGATGACTCTCTCTCATCCATGTTTCTAACTTGCTATCTCTCTCCCTTCCTCTCTGTGCAAAATCAATAAAATATATTTAAAAAAAAAAAAAAAAAGAGTTTGGCTCTAGTACTGCACATAAAAAAAGTTAAAACAGGGACTCCTTTGGGGGTCTAGAACAGATTAATTTAACTTTCATTCTTCCTAATGGGAAAAAATGATTCAGCTTTCGAACAAACTGCTCCTCTAACAGCCTTCCAGAACAAATTAAGTTTGAGAACCAAGGTTCCACTACAGTGCTGAAAGTGATTCATTTAAGGCTATTAGCGGGTGGTTCAATGAATTTAAGAAAACAAGTGCTTGTTTATAGACTGAACAGTACATTCGACATGTTTTGTATATAAGAAGGATTTAAAACAGGGAATCATTTGAGGGTCTAGAACAAATTAATTCAATTCACATTATTTCTGATGGGAAAAAATGATTTGGCTTTTGTACAAATCGTTTCTTGAATAAATTAAGTTCAAGAAGTGAGGTTCCACTATAAATAGAACAAGCCATAACGAATGCCTAGCAATAGATACTTAATGAGTTTGAAGTGGCTTTTCTAATTAAGAAATCTAATAATTGTCACTAATTAATGGTCACAAAAAGACAATACACATTAAGGGGCATAAGTTTCAAGGAAAACAGTGACAACTTCTAAAATAAGCTGTTAAGACAAACCAAAGGGTTTTAAGGTAAATTTTCAAATCAATCTTCTATTGTCATATTATAGACTCTTGGCTATGAACACTTCTACAAGTTTTTACACCATTTTAAGCAAATTACAAATAACAACCAAAATAGTAAGAAGAGTCTGTTAAAGAATGTCTTTATTAATACAAACTATTAATACATACAAACTATAAGCACTAAGAAACTTAAACCTCTAAGTCATAGCAAACAGGTGGCAATTCAACATCCAGTGTTGACAGAAGGCTTGAGGGAGACTGGAACGGATCTAGAAAACAGGAATTCCTTAGACAATACCTGCAAACTGCCTTGATTCATTGTCCATGTCAACATGGACATTAGTTATCACTTCTAATCATCAACTGTTTTTCCCTTTGTCCAGTGAATCTCTATGGCCACCCCACCTACACATATACACACTCATTTCCTGGAATGTGGCTGTGGTCTCAGAATTAACCAATATTAGGAAATGATTCTTAGAAGTTCCTGAAACTATCGTTCTTATTAGAGATCCAAGTAAGAGCCAACAATATGGCTAATAAAAATGTATGAAACAATGTAAGTGTCTAAGTTAACACACAGAAAATGTACTGACGGCTACTGACTGCCAGTTTGAACCATGTCCGCAAACCTGATGCAGTGAGGAGGTTTTGCCATTCCTTGTTATTGCACAGGTGTCTTGATCCTTCAAAGGTAACTTGGAATTCTCATTCCAAGCAATTTTATTATACTTCAACTTACAACCTAAGAAACTATATGTGAAGTTCAACCTTGTTTGGCTATATCTAAGGCTCTCCAGATTCCAGAATGACTTGATTTTACCTGGGCATTTGGAACTAAACAGCAATACCAACGGAGAAGGGTTTTCAATATTCTGAAACCTTACCCTGAAGTCTGAAGGACAGAAATGTCTTGTGGACTAACCCCCCACATAACTCTGTCCCCACGGTAATGCAAGTGTCATGACACAAACTGTCTGCGGCCCTTCTAGGAGGGTCCTTGCTCACTTACCCGACTCCCAGGGCAGAGAGGGCGCCTTGAGGGGTGAAGGGGGGCCCAGGTGTAACAGCTTTTCAAGTTTCCTCTCCTCGTCAAGGATCATGAGAGGCACTCCACTCAAGGGGAGCTGTGCGATCTGGTGTTCTTCAGGCAGGTCGAAGCTCTCAAAATCTGCCACAAAGAGAGGATTTCATCAGGACAGAAAGTCTCAGCGCGGACAGTGGACTCCTGGGAGTCTGAGGCCCTTTCAGCGGGTCCACGAGGTCAAAGCCACTTTTCTAATAACATGGACACCTTTCCCCCATGGCGCTGACACTTGCAATTGATGGCACAAAAGCAATGGTAGATAAAAATCACTGTGCCTTAGCATGGACCCAGGCAGGGGCCAGACACTCTATTTAGTAACCCCACTACTCCTCTCTACCATTCACCTGCAGCAAAAAGTGCCAGCTTCACACATCTCTTTACCACATGCAGTAAAAAGTATTAATTTTCTTAGCTTTCGATCTTTGAGGTCATGTCTTTTTAATATTTTGTAAGATAAGATGAGACGTACGTCAGGAACCATCTGCTGCCAACTGAAGTATGATGGTGATCTCAAAGAAAAAGGATTTGGGCAATAGTTGCTTTGCAAGCTAAACTAGAGGCCTTTTTCCAAACACCAGTTAGTCAAAAGAACACGTGAAAGATAAAGTGGTTACTTGGAGCTGGGTATTGGTTGCACATTTTCTTAGAAGAATGAAAAGAATCTATCCCTTTGAGGAAAACAGTATTTGTTGCCAATGATTAAAATTCACAATTTCAAGCCGAAACCAATTTGGCTCAGTGGATAGAGCCTCGGTCTGAGGACTGAAAGGTCCCAAGTTTGATTCCGGTCAAGGGCATGTACATTGGTTCAGGCACATCCCCAGTAGGGGGTGTGCAGGAGGTGGTTGGTCAATGTTTCTCTCTCATCAATGTTTCTGACTCTCTATCCCTCTCTTCCTCTCTGTAAAAAAATCAATAAAATATATTTAAAAAATAAATTCACAATTTCAAGAAAAAAAAAAACAAAACAGAATTTTGGAAAACTTATCTGTAATCATGAACTTGACAGCTTCCTCATACTTAAGATTTTTCTGATGTGATGACTGGTGATATTAATGAACGTGCTTTTAAAATTGTATAAAGAAGCTGCGTTTGATAATCTACATTTTTCCATAAAACCAATTTTCCTAGGTGAGCAATGTGTGATGAGTGTTAGAATAAAAGATACTTTGAAGTGCAAAACAGACCAATGGATTTTACTGTCAGAGTATCAAATGTTCATTGATATGGTTTCCGGTTTCACATTGCATCTGTGTTCAGAAAAAGCCACCAATTAAAAGAAAACTATCTATACTGATCTGAAAGGACTATTTAAAATGCTTCTCCCTTTCCTAACTATTTATCTGCATGAGGCCAGATTTTCTTCAAATACTGCAACCTAAACAGATGCAACAGATTGAATGCAAACATCAGATAAGAATCCAGCTATCTTATATTAAGCCAAATTAAGCAAGTTTTCAAAATATAAAACCATAATATATACATATTATGAAACCATACCAGTCTTCTCAACAAGTTTTTGTTTGTTTGTTTGTTTGTAAAAGTTATTTTATTTTTTTCAAGTTATTTATGTTAATATGTTTATTGACTAGTCAACAGAGCCAAATATCAATAGTACAAGGACTGAAATCTCTTTTGAGAGCCAAATTGTTTAAACAAACTTCTTCTAATGCCACTTCTTCAAAATAGACTCGCCCAGGCAGTGGTATTTTGTGAAAGAGACACATTCAAGGGGCCAAAGAGCCGCATGTGGCTCGAGAGCCACAGTTTGCCAACCACGGCAAGAAAAAAAAAAAAAAAAAAAAAAAGGCTAAAGAATTTTTGTAATACCAAAAGATACTACCGAGAGGATTGAAGGGAAAGAACTTTTCTATTTCTGGATAGGTGTCATCTGAGGCAGGAACAGAGCCTTTTGCTTTAACAGTCTTCTCGGTCACCTACGGCAAGCCAAGAAAACATGAGTTAGCGAGAGGGCTTCTTCAAGATGAGTGAAGCCATCACCACATTTTAAATTTTTTCATTTCCATGCTGACTCCTGAGAATCATAATCCTAAAGATTATGTTCTCATGATTACACACAAATACAATTCAACAATTCTAGTAGCGTGGCTCAAGCGTTACATTTGAGATTTAAGTCAGCCCTAAGTCATCAAGAATTCAGAGCGCAAGTAATTAACTCAAATCACTCAACCTACAGGAGAAGGAAAGGGGCCTGAGTCAGCCGGAATAGAAGCTAATCCTAAAAGCCATCTTTGGCTTTTGGAAGTGTGATTTTCCACGTGTCTCCATCAGCCTTATCTTAATTAGTTGTTTTTTCCTAAGACACATTAAACAAAACAACTATCTAAGTAAGGTGTTCATCCACACATCCAACTTATTTTCTCAGCCAGGTTCTATCAGTCTGGGATGCATGACCTGCAGCTCTGGCTCACACACAAACACAGGTCAGCATGGTAGCAAATTATCTCCCAAGGAGCTGGTGCTCACTCTGGGAGGTGAGAGGAGGATGGCGGCACCTGAGCTATTATATTAATGTGACCCCTTGCAAAGCACCTCTCTCTCAGTACTACAGGTGTAAGTAGATACAGACATTCCTCATTTTATCACCGTTTGTTTTGTTGTACTTCATACTGTTTTGGTGGACTTCCAAAATGGTTTTTTTGTTTGTTTGTTTGTTTTTACACAAACTGAAGCTCTCTCCACCTTTAAAACGACAACTCACTTTATGGTGATACTTGCTTTATTATGGTGGCCTAGAACCCAATTATTATTATATTTTAGAAAGTTTTACATATGTCTTTTTTCTCCCATGGACCTCTCCCCACCTGCTCCCACCCCTGAAACCCAATCTTTTTTTTTTTAATATATACTTTATTGATTTTTACAGAGAGGAAGGGAGAGATAGCTAGAAACATCGATGAGAGAGTCATCGATCAGCTGCCTCTTGTACGCCTCCTTCCAGGGATGTGCTCGCAACCATGGTACATGCCCTTGACCGGAATCGAACCCGGGATTCTTCAATCCGCAGGCTGATTCTCTATCCACTGAGCCAAACCGGTTTCGGCTAGAACCCAATCTTTGAGCTCTCTGAGGTATGCCTGTACTACCAATAAATCTGCTTCACAATATCAGTTAAGGGCAAGTGAGGCAAAAATATTCACCTGCTGCTGCAGGCTGCTTATCTCAAGGCACAGAGGAAGTCCACCAAAATAGTATGATTCTCTTCTACCAATCTGTTTGCCAGCCTATATTTAACCTTCTCCCTGGGAAGAAAGCCAGAGAAAATAGCTAGTCATTATAAGAGCCAAAAGTGCTGAAGTGTTTAAACAGTGTCATTATAGACAGCACTTACCGTTTTAGAAGAGAAGGCTGTCTGTTTCTCTTTGACAGGTGCATTAGTCTTTGCTGACTTTTCTGTAGCTCTGTTGACAGTTCCCAAAGCCTTTCTGGGAGCCTTCCGCAAGGCTGGAGGAGCATCAAACATTTTGCCAACATGTGGTGTTGAAACCTTAGATCTCCCATCTAACGCTTTGACTGCTTTAAAAAAAAAAAAAAAAAAAAAAAAAAAAAGTACCATAAGATTATTCAGGCAAGCCCTAGCTGGTTTGGCTCAGTGAATAGAGCATCAGCCTGCGGACTAAAGGGTCCCGGGTTCAATTCCAGTCAAAGGCACAAGCCAGGGTTAGGGGCTTAATCCCCAGTAGGGGGGCGTGCAGGAGGCAGCTGATCAATGATCCTCTCTCATCATGGATGTTTCCATCTCTCTCTCCCTCTCCCTTCCTCTATGAAATCAATAAAAATATATTTTTTTAAAAAAAGATTCAGGCTATATATATCTGTACAACCAGAAGGCTGTGTATAAACTTGGCCCAATTCTCACCGCAACTCAACCCCCATATTTGACAGTGGCATGGCCACTGTCAATCTCTTTCCAGTATTGAACATGAAAAAGAGACTCATAACAAGCATGTTGTAACAGGAGTACAGGCATACCCCTGAGATATTGCGGGTTCGGTGACAAATCAAAACAATAAAGCAGCCGAAACCGGTTTGGCTCAGTGGATAGAGCGTCGGCCTGCGGACTGAAGGGTCCTGGGTTCGATTCCAGTCAAGGGCATGTGCCTTGGTTGCTGGCATATCCCCGGTGGGGAATGTGCAAGAGGCAGCTGATGGATGACTCTCTCGTCGATGTTTCTAGCTCTCTGTCTCTCTCCCTTCCTCTCTGTACAAAAATCAATAAAATATATTTTAAAAAATAAATAAAAAAATAAAGCAGGTATCGCAATAAAGTGAGTCATAAGCCCTTTGCTGGTAGAGGGTCTTGCCTAACATTTGTAAAAAACGCAACATCTTGCCCTAGCCGGTTTGGCTCAGTGAATAAAATGTCAGCCTGTGGACTGAAAGGTCCCAGGTTTGAATCTGGTCAAGGGCATGTACCTTGGTTGCGGGCACATCCCCAGTGGGGCGTGTGCAGGAGGCAGCTGATCAATGTTTCTCTCCCATCTATGTTTCTAGTTTTCTGTACCTCTCCCTTACTCTCTGTAAAAAAAAAAAAAATCAATAAAATATATATATTTTTTAATGCAACATCTGCTAAGTGCAATAACTAAGAGGAAGCATGCCTATATCCGGCAAACTTGATTCCAGTTGCCTACGAGGTTCACTTAGGCCTTCCTGAGCCCAGACCACACTGATCCACAAAACCTGTGCATGATTGCAGCCTGGATACTTACAAGGCCGGGACCCCAGCTTCAGCCGGTCCTTCGGAGTCGCACGAGAGCCTAGTTCTCCGTTTTCCTTATCCACAAAGATCACGGTAGCCATTCTGAATTAACTAGGGGAGTGAAACACACATTAGACCCTGGGGAAGCCGAGAGAACCTAAGGGGTAGCATCGACCAAACTTCCCACGCAAAAAAAAAAGGCAAGAGCTAAGCAGAGGAAGAAGCGCGAGCTTGAGCCAACGGGCACGTCGTCCAGCTCTTAGCTCTTGGAGGCCGCGTAAGAGGCTCTCCATTCCAGAAGAGCCAGCGGTTCGGGGCCGGCAGGAACCCTGGTACCCAGGAGAACCGAGCCGTCGAGGGTCGCCATGCAGTCAAGGCCGCCAGCCGGGCTGGGCGATATAGACGACCCCGGAAAGCCCCAGCCCCAACCCCAACCCAGCCCCTGGCCCTCGCCCCGCCCCACCCTGCCCCGACTCTCCGGAACCCGGTCTCCAAGCGCCTTTTCCTTCACCAGACCAATCCCCCCTTCCCCCGGTGCCCGCCGACCTCTCACGACCTCTCCGTTCACCCACGTTAGCATCCGCAGCCAAAATCTCCCACGGCTCAGCCTCCAGCGGGCGCGCCCGGCCCGGCGTTTGAACCACAACTCGCATTCCTATTGGTTCATCCGCCCAGGGGGCGGGACCGGAGTGGGTGGAGACTGTCAGGAAGAACCAATAGGAAGAACCTACGTTCCTTAGGCTCCGCCCCGAAAGCTTTTCCCCCTAAGATTACAGCTTGTCCCTAAGGGAAGACACAAAGAAATCAGACCTCGTGACACCTTAATAATGGACTTTTAGGTGTGTTTTTTACTAACGGATAGGGGAAGAATATGGTCACCAATTACAAGTAATTATGACGATTATTGTGATATTAAGATACAGAGTTTTGTTTTGTTGTTGTTGTTTTAATCAATCTTTATTGTTCATATTATTACAAAGGTTCATTTCTTTCCCCCTTCCACCAGGTTCCCACCACACCCTCCGCCCTCTCCCCACCCCCCATTGTCCTCATCCATAGGTGCACAGTTTATGTTCAGTCTCTTCCTCCCTCCCTTCCCCCCTCCCCCCAGAACAGTCAGTCCACTCCCCTCCCATCTCGCCGACTCTACTACAATGAACTGCTATTATTGTTCATCAGGTTTTTTAATCTTTTTTTTTTGTGGTTGTTGTTTTTTTTAATTAATAAACTTTTACACTTCTAAGAATAAATTTTAAAATCTAATGTTAAACCTTGTTTTGTTTTGTTTTGTTTGTTTTTCCTGGAACAGTGAAGGGGCCAAGACGTTTTTAAATGAAAAGATTGTGAGATTCAAAAAGTCAAGGCGAAGTGGCAGCTGAACTATTTTCCTGAAGTCTTCAACTAATCAACTATTTGTGCAGAGAGTAAATAGACCAGAGGTATCCTGGAGAAAAGGCATGATAGTCTTCAGGAAAATAACTAAGGGAAAATGGATACATAACAGTTGTATTTCAATTACAGATGTGAAAAAATACATAGTCAGGTGGGAAAACAACCCATTAGGTCTAAAGAACACTAGCAGAGCAGAATTAAAAATTAAGGGGAAAAAATGTAAGTACCAATAGATCAAACAGCAATATTTGAGTCATTCTGTTATGCTTGTGATTAAGAATGGACTGATTATTAGGCCCTCACTGAACGCCTTTCCTCAATATTTCAGGCTAGGATGCTGTTTCTAGTACTGCAACAGAAATCTCTGGCTTAGGAACAAAATAATGATTGATCCTAATAAATACATAATTCAGGCTTCCTTTAAAATTCTATAATTTAGGGACTCTTCCTAAATTCCCCCTCCCACATGGGAGTCTGTACTTGTTTAATAAATCTCCATCTTTGCTATAAAAAAATTCTATGATTTAATAAGGACTGTCATAGATATGGTTTTCAATATACGCCAGCTCATGGCTCTGCCTCCCTGGCATTTCAGGACCAAAATTGACCACGGAATGATTCATTCACTAAACAAATAATTATTGAATGTTGTTTAATACATCAAGAAGAAAGGATCCTAACCCTAGCCAGTTTGGCTCAATGAATAGAGACTAAAGGGTCCCGGGTTCAATTCCATTCGAGGGCACATGCCCGGGTTGTGGGCTCAATCCCCAGTAGGGGGCGTGCAGGAGGCAGCCAATTAATGATTCTCTCTCATCATTGATGTTTCTCTCTCCCTCTCCCTTTCTCTCTGAAATCAATAAAAGCATATTTTTTAAACCATGCATACTTTTTATTAACCCCTCTCCTGTCTGTTTTCTTTTAAATCCCCATCCCTTTCCTTATTTTCTCTCTGCATCCCTTTCTACATATCTCAGCTCCATATTATATCAACGACACACGGAAGTGTTGATTTTTGAAACCAAATCCATACAACTCCTACAATGTCCAACTGGGCATTCTTTATCTTAAGGTTTTCAGTTGCAAAGTTTATTCTGTATTTCCCTAGGGTATGTCTTCCCTTACAACAGGAAGCAATGTTTCCCAAGGTCATTCAGTAACCACCTCCTCTTTGAGAGACCACTGTTTTCTTACTAATAAGCCACAGACCCACTTTGTTATTCCAAACTATTAATGAGATCTCCAATTGACACCTCCCTCACCTCATAAGGGTACTTACATCCTAATCAACCCCAGTGTAGATTAATCCTGGTTAACAAACAGTGATCCCCTAGAACTGTTTCCTTAAACCCTCCTCAGAATCAGACCTCCAGGGAGGAACCCAAACCTCACAAAAGATTCTTCTCTTTTGTCTAGCACATTCCATGATTCCTCTGGGAAATGAGCTCCCTGGCTTGTGCCTAGCGATTTGAACTTAACAGACCTCAACTCTTCCAAGTAAAATGTTTTAAGAAGATAAAAAACAAGTGTGGGTACTTTGTAGACTACTGACTGTCAGGCTATTCTCTGACACTTCCATTCCGTCATCTATTGCCCTGTAGAATCAAAACATTTACATTTCTATGCCGAAGCTGGTTTGGCTCAGTGGTAGAGCGTTGGTTTGCGAACTGAAAGATCCCAGGTTCAATTCTGGTCAAGGGCATGTACCTTGGTTGCAGGCACATCCCCGGTAGAGGGTGTGCAAGAGACAGCTGGTCGATGTTTCTCTCATCGACGTTCCTAGCTCTCTATTTCTCTCCCTTCCTCTCTGTAAAAAATCAATTAAATATATATATATATATATATATATATATATATATATATATATACATATATATTAAAAAACATTTACATTTCTAAACTCTAGACACTGCAAATTCTCAAAAACAATGACACTGTAATGGGTTATCTTATTTAGGTAAGAATATTAACTATTTTCACTTTTACATTTTAAAGGACTATAGATTATTTGGAAAAAAAACTTTTTAAAGGTGATCAGAACAGATAGGACAAAAAAAAATAAAAATTCAACTGAGTAAACTTGAAGATCTAATTGGCTTTATTAAATTATTCGTGGATTGGGTGGCATCCCATCTAATAACTTCAAGAGCATTGGGGAGGTTTTTATAGGACGAAGGATGGAGCAAGGAGATATTAACAAAAAAGAAATGGTTTTTTGGAGACCAGGACATCTTTTTTATTTTTCAAGGGGGAGGGGGATGCTGGAGGAAGAAGGGGGTAGATTTTTATCAGGCAGATGGACTCTTCTTTCTGGGGGGGTCATAGATGAAGGGGGGCCCTTGTGACAGATAACCTACTGGTGCTTGAGAAAGGAAGAATGTCTAAGCTGCTGCTGGAACTTGATCAGGAACCAAAATTCCTAACCAAGCCACATATACTTTCCTATAATATCCATTAAAAAGAGAAATGGCTGTAGAAGGCAGTGACTGTTCTTTCTACATCCTGATAAAAATATAAACATAATTGCTTCCAGAACCCTTCCCATAGCTCCAGATTCCAGGTGCTTAAGGACCCTACCTTATCTGTACATTCTCTCCACCTGATGTAAAGTTATTAATCCTTGACTATATGTAATTAACTAAAACAGCTGATGCACAGCTATATTTTTCTTTATTTTCCCTTCTCCCAGTTTATATAAATATCCCTGAGCTCTACCCTCAGGCAATGTCCTCAGATGTGTCCAAATAAATTTCTTTTCCTAAATCCTTGATATGCTTGATGAGAAATTCCAGACTGCCTGATTAGATTATATTTCTGAGAGAGGCTGAAACTGCAGTTAAATCCATTTGGAGGGAGGAGTAGGGGCATGGGGAAAGGAAAATAAGGCTGAAGAACTCCAGAAAATGGATAGAAAGCTTCCAACTCTTAAATATATCCTCATAGGGAAGATAAATGCCAAGTTGAAGAGGAAACAGGGAATGGGGATCTTGAAGGAAGCCGCCATCCAGAGCCCAGCAAGACCAGGACTCTGTCATCAACGTTTTGTTTTGAACATATTTTATTATTTTAGAAAGGAAGGGAGAGGGGGAGATAGAAACATCAAGGATAAGAGAATCATTGACTGACTTCTGCACGCCCTCTACTGGGTATAGAGTCTGGAACCTGGGTATGTATGTGCCCTTGGGTGGAATCGAACCTGGGACCCTTCAGTCCGCAGGCCGACGCTCTATCCATTGAGACAATTGTAAGATATTATATCAGATTTTAAGGACTTTTTTTTTTTCTAATGGCGAAATGGTATGCTGGATATATTGAGTTAAAATACTGAAAAGTAATCTTACCTGTTTCTATTGTCTTAATATGGCTACTAGAATGTTTAAAATGACGCCTAGAGCTGGCATGATATTTCTTTTGGACGGATGTTGCATTGGAGGGCTTTAAGCTTGGGTGGTGGGACGTGATATGAACAAATTAGGGTTTTGAGAAAAATACCACTACAGCGTGGACTACTGATGCGAGGGGGTGGGAGGATTGGCAAAATTCGAGATCTCGCGAGACCGAAAGAGTTGTTACTGCGCATGTGTCCCGCGGTGGCTTCTGGGAAGTGCTGAGACCCGGAAGTAAACATTGGCGTATTGGCTTTGTTTCCGTCCGGTGGTTTGGGGTCCTCTGCGACAGGACTTGGTGAGGGATTACTTTGAAAAGAACTTGAGTGGGGAGGGTGAGGAGGCGAGCGGAAGGGAGAGCGGGAGCGGGGACGGTGCGAGGGAGCGGGGACGGCGCGGGGGATTGGGACGGGCGGGCGTGGGCATGGTAGGGGGTAGAGGGGCGGGAGGGGGCGGAAACGGGTGTAAGGAGAGGAAGGTGAAGCTTGGAGAAAACCAGAAAATGGGCCGGAAACTCCTAATTCTTAAGATATATTCTCAAGGGGCTGATGAATATCAGGTTGAGGAGGAAACAGGGAACGCGGGCCAAAAATGAAGCCGTAGACAGTGGTTCTGTGCCCAGTCAAACCAGGACTATGTCTTGAGTGGTTTTTAAAATAAAAATGGATGTCATTGGAGCTGCACTGCCCAGTATAATAGTTATTAGCTATTTGTGGCTCTTAAGTACTAGAAATGTGGCTAAGTGTAATGTAACATCCATATCAGATTTTAAAGACAGTTTATTTTTTTTTTCTTATGGTGAAATGATGTAGGGGATATATGAGGTTAAATGAGATATTGCAAAAGTAATTTTACCCGTTTCCTTCTATTGTCTTAATGTGGCTACTGGAATATTTAAAATGGCATGTAGTAGGAAAAAGTAGTAACACTATGGTGGCAGCGTTGACAATTAGATGTATATGAATAATAGGTAGAAGGTGACAAAAATTTTAATGATGAAATAGGTATGGGGATTAACTGGAACAAGTAAAGGAATGAATGGTGGTGTTTTTATTAAGAGAGGAAACTGGAAGAAGACTGGCTTTCATAGAGAAGATCATGAATTTGAATTAAGATGTGTTGAGTTTATGTGTCTCTGAGACCTCTAGGTGGAGATGCTGTGAAGTAAGCAATTGGATTATATGCCCCTGAAGCTCAGATAAAAGGTCTAGAGTAGAGAAATAAATTGGAACTAATGGTGGGATGTAGCTACTAAAACCTTGGAAATAGATGAGCTTGTCCATAGTGGAGTTCACAGTGATGAAAGAGGCTGTAGGACTTGCAAAATCCAAAATTAAATAACTAGGGATGGATAACCCTGCAAAAGAGCCAGGAGAAGCAGCAAGAGGGGTCCAAGAAAAACCATAAGATTATAGCGTGCCATAAGCCAAGGGATAAGATATACCAAAGAGAAAGGCAACAGAACTGAAAAGAATGTCCACTGGTAACTTAGTAGTATCTCTTCAGAGTGATAAGGGTTGGAAGCTAAATTAGAGTAGTTGAGGAGGGAAATAGATGATGAAGAGGTAATAAATATAGATAACTTTTTTAAATATATATTTTTTAATTGATTTCAGAGAGGAATGGAGAAGAAGAGAGAGAGAAAAAAATCAATGATGAGAGAGTCATTGATTGGCTACCTCCCACATGCCCCACACTGGGGATGAAGCCTGCAACCCAGGATCATGCCCTGAGCTGAAATTGGACCATGACCTTCTGGTTCATAGGTTGACATTCAACCACTGAGCCATGCCGACCATGCTAGATAACTCTTAAGACATTCAGTCTTTAAGGGTAACAAAGATCATACTGTGTTTAAGAGTTTATGTAGTGGAAAAGTTTAACATTTACGTAGAGAGGGATTCAGGAATGTATATGAGAGAGTCTTAGGAAATTTTAAATCTGTGTTTATGTCTCTCCATTTGTAAATTAGAATTGAGGGAGTAACTAGACTTTTATTTAGGGGGGAAAAACCTGCCCTTACTAATACTATGAAAGAATAAGGATATATGAAACATTATTTATAGCTCATTAAAAATTTATAGTTATTAAGATGTGTTTTTGATAGTTTCGCTGATGAACTCATAGAGGCCTAGTTTATACTAATATAGATTTCCCTTTTAAAGAGGAGGCCAGATAACAATGGCGGCTGCAGCTGTGGACACAGTTAATGCTGCCCCCGTGGCAGGGTCCAAAGAAATGAGTTTGGAGGAACCAAAGAAGATGACCAGAGAGGACTGGAGAAAGAAGAAAGAGCTAGAAGAACAGCGAAAACTGGGTAATGCTCCTGCAGAAGTTGATGAAGAAGGAAAGTAAGTAATTTTTTGTATGATCTTTTCATTCACAATTCAAATTCATGTCTAACTTTATCAATTCCTCATCCTTTGGCAGGAAGCTATCTTTACCTTTTATGTCATGTTAGTTTTATTTATTTTTATCAAACTCATATGTATAGGGTTTAGTAATCAAATAATATTGAAGGACCTATAATGAATAGCTATAGTCCCTTTCAACCCTTCCCACTCCCTGTCCCACTATACAAAAGTGACTAATTATAAATCTGTATTTTTGAGTTTTTCTGGCTGATACCTACATATGTCTAATATATCTAACCCATTATTTTAATCAACTCTAAGGTATTACTAGTTTACCTCTTTCTCTGATACAAGATTTATCTCCCTAAAATACATCTCTCTTCAGTTATATCACTGTTCTTAATTTCTTTGTAGAAAACTTTTCACTTGAATTATTTTTATTGCTTTCTTTTAATTATTTAAATTATATTAGAAATATCAAGTGTATCCTTTCCCTACCCCCACTGAAATATCTCTATTCTTAGATTCTGTTTAGGGTACCTTTAGTAATTTGTAATATCAATTATTTTCACACTTTCTTCTTTTTCTTTTTTTTTTTTTTTAATATATTTTATTGATTTTTTACAGAGAGGAAGAGAGAGGGATAGAGAGTTAGAAACATCGATGAGAGAGAATCATCGATCAGCTGCCTCTTGCACACCCCCTACTGGGGATGTGCCTGCAACCAAGGTACATGCCCTTGGCCGGAATCAAACCCGGGACCTTTCAGTCCGCAGTCCGACGTTCTATCCATTGAGCCAAACCGGTTTCGGCCACTTTTCTTTTTTTTTAAAAAAAAAACTTTTGTTTTATTACAGAGACATCAACCCTCATATTCCTCAGTATATTTCTTCAGTGCCATGGTATATTGATCCATCAAAAAGACCTACTTTAAAACACCAGAGACCACAACCAGAAAAACAGAAGCAGTTCAGCTCATCTGTAGAATGGTATAAGAGGGGTGTAAAAGAGGTATGTAGGCAACCTGTATATATCCCTGTAGCAATGGAGATTAAGAACTTAATGTAACAGCCTTTAATACAATCCTGTATAAAATAGAAATAGATTATATAACCTTCCATCTGGTATTAAAATTCACACATATGACATTAATGTCCGTATTCTATTTTATAAATTTTATATTGCTCAAGTCCTTAAACTTTCTCATTTATAAAAGTGTCAGAAACTCTAACTGGTTATCCTCCTAATAAATAAATCATTTCACTATATAGTATAATGAGGGCCAGCGTTACTTCTAACTTATTCAGATAAATGAAATATTTCCTTTGTTTTTCTTTACATTAATTTATAGAATTCCATAACTACTAAGTACCGCAAAGGAGCGTGTGAAAATTGTGGGGCCATGACACACAAAAAGAAAGACTGCTTTGAGGTAAATTCACCTTTGAGAATTTTGGAAACTCTTGTCAGTGTCTTTCTTTCTTGATTCCTTTTCAGAGAGCTTGATTCTATTTTTCTAAAATTATCTAAACTTAGCTACCAGTTAAATAAAAATTAATTTGAGTGGCATAGTCCAACATTATTAGGTTTTTCTGCTGGAAAACTTAACTGGTAATTTAGGAAATAGACCATAAAGTTCCACGGTATGTTCATACCTGCTCTAGAAAGATTATAGGAAATTTTCCTCTGGTACTTAGGGAACAATGTAATCTTCCTCTGTTTTCCAGAGACCTAGGCGAGTTGGAGCAAAATTTACAGGAACTAACATAGCTCCAGACGAACATGTCCAGCCTCAGCTGACGTTTGACTACGATGGGAAGAGGGATCGGTGGAATGGCTACAATCCAGAAGAACACATGAAAATTGTAGAAGAATATGCCAAAGTTGATCTGGTGAGCAAAATTCCCTGTTTTTCTGGTATTCTTAAAGAATGAACATTTTACTCTATCACTAATTTAGCTACTCTTATTTTTCAAGCCTTCAAGCAGTTTAAAAATGGAGGCATTTTTATGTAAGCTTCATTGAATAGTGAACATAAGCAGTGTACTGGCCCTCGGTTGTAGGTTTGATCCCCAGCAATTTTTTTTTATTTGATTTTTGTGTTGTCCTTTACTTCTTGGCTTAGGTTTAAAAAAAAAAAAAAATACTGGAAACGTGAGAACAGATTAGTGTCCAAGCTTTTGGCTTTTTGAGGTTATAAAATTGGTTCCCAGACTGTATCCTGCCCATGGCCTATTTTACAGTTGTCTCAGAGCATTTAGAGGGTGGTAGAATGGGAACTGAGATAACCCGTTTCGGAAAATTGAATTTTTCTTTAACTAAACTTTAATTTTATTCTGTTATGTTTTCACCTACTCATCCTCATTCTTTAAAACCCATAGTCACACTGCCTTTTTTATTTTTCTAAGGAAGAGTTAACATTTAAGAATCATAGGATGTCATATAAGCAGAATTTATTCTTTTCTTGAACAGTGAAATATATGGAAATACTGGGCCTGCCTGACAAGAGTCAGTCATCTGGAGTCAGGTGGCAACTGCCCCCTTTGGGTAGGACTTGCTCTGCAGTTTCCCACAGGTGCTGTCTGGCTCAGTTTCCATCCATGCCTACTTCAAACAGGAGTTTGTAACTCCTGTTCCTTAGAGGACCATAAGTCTAGAACTCCGCGAAGTCTTAGGGATGACCTTGTCCACTGAGCTTTTCTCAAAACAATAAACTTCCTCCCTTTAAATGTGTTACAGAAATAAAATGTTCATTTGAATGTTATAAGTAAATTTCAAAGGTTTTGTTTGTTTCCTTTTTTTGGTCAGGCAAAACGGACACTGAAAGCCCAGAAACTCCAAGAAGAACTGGCCTCAGGAAAGTTGGTGGAACAGGCTGTAAGTAATAAAAATGATCAGTAAAACTTCAGAGCCCAGTAACAAAGAAAATTGAAATAAATATTTAATTTAGTCCTGGCTGGTGTTTCTCAGTAGTTAGAGTGTCAGCACTTACACCAAAGAGTTTTGGGTTCATTTCCTACTCAAGGGCATGTACCTGGGTTGTAGGTTTGATCCCCAGGCCCCCAGTCAGGGCGGTTGCTGGAGGACACCAATTGATGCTTCCCTCTTACATCGATGTGTCTCTCTGCTTCCCTGCTTCCCTCCCTCTTTCTAGACATATATTCTGGTGAGGATTAAACAAAAATTATATTTAATACTGCAAATCACATTTTTGTATGTAACTCTTTATATAATTGACATTATTTATTTACGATAAGTTCCTAAAAGTGTAATTGTATGAATTTATGCACAGGTAGGATCCGGCCAGCCTGTGGAGGTTGGGGAGAGGAAATGCGGGAGGTTGGCCAGCTGGCCTGGCCACCTGGTCGAACTCCCAGTTGAACTCCGGTCGGGGGAACAATTTGCATATCAGCCTTTAATTATATACTAGAAGCCCAATGCATGAAATTTGTGCAAGAATAGGCCTTCCTTCCCCCTAGCTGCCAGCACCAGCTTCCCTCTGGCACCTGGGACCTGAGTTTCCTTGTGGCTGCTGGCAGGCTCCAGGGACCCAGGCTTCCCTTGCAGCCCCAGCTTTGTCCATAAGGTTGTCCAGAAAAACATCAGGTCTAATTAGCATACTACCCTTTTTTTACTATAGAGGATTTCCTTTTTCTTTTCTTTTTACTCTTTTTTTTATTGATTAATTGGTTTTTGAAAGAGAGAAGAGAAATATCAGTTTGTTGTTTCACTTATTTATGCATTTATTAGTTGATTCTTGTATGTGCCCCAACTGGGGATCTAACCCACAACCTTGGCATATCAGGACAATGCTCTAACCAACTGAGCTACCCAGCTGGGGCCCACATACACTTCTGTGCTCCCCTACTAATGCTATAAGATATTCTTTTTACCTTTGAGTCCTTTTAAATGAACATGATGAAATACTGACTACTTTGCTATAGGTATTCTGTGGAGTTAGAGAAAATCCTGAACAATTGTTAATGAAGAAAGTGTGTCTCTATAACAAAGATTTCATACCCTCCTTAAATCACAATATGGTGTTACTTTAGCAGATTTCTTCACAGCCTGAATTTTTAGAGGCTCTTTGGGCTTTAATGATACTTATAACATGATCCTAGTAACATTTTCTTTTTGGACTTGGTAGAACTAGTAAGATATAATGAAAATAGTATATCTAAGATTAATACATATGAAATGAATATTTATTTGGGTACATTGTTCATTTTAATCTTCCTATTTCCTTTGTGTGATTAAAATTTTACTGCAGGCCCGATGTACGAAATTTGTGCAAGGGTCTTGGCCCTCCCCGCCGCTGCCACCACCACCACCGCAACCCCCACTAGTCCCTCTGTGGCAGCCTCTACCCACTGCGGCTGGGGGGCCTCTGCCATGGCCCCTGCCTGCCCCCACTCACCACTGAGGCCTCTGCCTGGGCCCCTGCCCACTGCAGCTTTGTCTGGAAAGAAGGACGTTTGGTCTAATTAGCATATTACACATTTGTTATTATAGATATCAATAAAAATTCTCTAGAAATGTTCTGGCTTCTAATAAGATAACTATTCACAGGGACATACCTGTATTAAGAACTTATGTGCTCATTATAAGTGAGAAATATGAGAATTTGTTCAGTTAGATTTGTTATATTATGTTTTTAAAGTGTTAAATAATCAGTAGCTTTAGTAGAATAATATACTTTTTTTTTTTTTCCCTTCTGTCATATGCAGAATTCTCCAAAACACCAGTGGGGAGAAGAGGAACCAAATTCTCAAATGGTAATAAATATTTGCCCTATCTGGGTATATGTTAAATGTTTCCATTTCTGATGGCTAATATAATAATACCATTATTACTAATTATATTAACAGAATTAATAGCCTTAAAGAACACAAGTGAATAAGGGTATGGTTAAAGGGACATAAAAGGAAAACAACTAAATGCTATTCTTTTTTTTTTACTATTTTTTTTTTTCTCTCCCTCTTTCAGGAAAAAGATCATAATAGTGAGGATGAGGATGAAGATAAATATGCAGATGATATTGACATGCCTGGACAGAACTTTGACTCTAAGAGACGGATTACTGTTCGGAATCTCAGGATTCGAGAAGATATTGCAAAAGTAAGCCTGGCCAACTTAATGTACACATTCAACAAATATTTGTCTTTCCAACCTAAATTTTACCTATGTGTCTCATATCTGGGCAGTATATGTGTAATGTAGTCAGTCATCCCAAAATTAGGTATCATTCCGTTTTTTTCTCTTCATCTGTGCCCCAGAATGCATTCACATATATAATTGATTGTGATCAACTACAGAAAATGTTAATTTTGGGAATAAACATTAATGCAGCTTTCAAACTTTTTTTATTCTAGTATTTGCGGAATTTAGATCCAAATTCTGCTTACTATGATCCCAAAACTAGAGCGATGAGAGAAAATCCCTATGCCAATGCAGGAAAGAATCCAGATGAGTAAGTATTGAGTTAAATGTACAGATTACGGGGGGTTGAGGGGTGGTATTAACCGGGGAATACATGCATAGCCCATGGACACAGTCAGTAGTGTGATAAAGGCTTGGGAGGGGCAGATGCAGGGAAGAGGAGGTCAAAGGGGAAAAAACAACAAAATAAAGGGGACATTTGTAATACTTTCAAAAACAAATTTCTAAAAACCACTCAAAACATAAAAAAAAAAAAAACAGATATTAAGATAATAACGAATCTGAATTAAAATGAACATTATCTATGATTAGATCAGAAAGAGTTAACTGTCTTTAAATCAATCTCTGAAACAGTTTTTTTTTTCCCTCCAATTTTTACAGAGTGAGCTATGCGGGAGACAACTTTGTTAGATACACAGGTGATACCATTTCAATGGCTCAGACACAGTGTAAGTATTGGCTCCTTTGTCAAGGCATTTTATATCAGCCCATGAGAAATTTGGGGGCATTTTAGAAACACTATATAGCTGACAACTTATTAAGATGTTTTTAATTGCCTAGTGTTTGCATGGGAAGCCTATGACAAGGGATCTGAAGTGCATCTGCAGGCCGATCCTACCAAACTAGAGCTCTTGTATAAGTCCTTCAAGGTCAAAAAAGAAGACTTCAAAGAACAGCAGAAAGAAAGCATCCTGGAAAAGGTAATGTTGACCAGAATGTTAATGTTTCTTAAAGATAAATGACCAGTAAACAAGTACTTGATCTACATTTGAAATACAATCCAAAGAGAGTCCCTTTTAATCCATCAGGAATAGTACTGTCTTTCCAATGACTTGATCATTTGGCGAATAGTATCAGGATAGCTGTGTCCCTGAGTTTTGGTAGCAAAACAAACCACCCCAACACTTAGTAACATAAAAACACACATTTCTTTTTTGTTCATGAATCTATGTATCAGCTGGATCTGCTGGTCTGGGCCTGCTCATGTGAGGCTGGATGGTCTAGGACGGCCTGACTCTGTTCTGCAGCAGTTAGCAGGCAGGTTGTCCTAAGGGGGGCTCATGTCTGCCCCACCTGGGCTCACCTCTAGAAGGCGAGTTCAGCTGCTTTCCATGGCATTCTCTGCATACCAGAGACCAGTAACAAAAAGGTATGCCCCAGTGCATGAGTGATTTCCAGGCCTTTGCATGCATCACATTTGTCAGTTTTCCATAGGTCACAACAAGCAATGTGGCCAAGCCCAGATTCAAATAGTGGAGAAACAGGCTGTCTCATCAGGGAAGGGGCAGCAAAGTCATGTGGCAAATGGGCATGTGTACAGGATAAGAGGAGTGTATAGCCACATTCAACAGATAAATAGCAACTGAGACATTTTGTATTTGCCTATGAAAATTTGGTAGCGTTTTTTTTTTCTTTACTGTTTTTTGTGTAACAGGGCCTAAAAGAATGCTTATTTAATCTTTCTCATTGGAAATAAACCCATCAGTAGAGAGTTGAATGCAAATCTTTATTGTAAAATGTATTTAACAATGTTCAATTTTTTTTAGTATGGTGGCCAAGAACATTTGGATGCTCCTCCAGCTGAATTGCTTTTAGCTCAGACAGAAGACTATGTGGAGTACTCAAGACATGGGACAGTCATTAAAGGACAGGAGCGGGCTGTCGCCTGCTCCAAATATGAGGAGGATGTGAAGATCCACAATCATACAGTATGTGTTAAGCCAGAACCATTTTGTGTCCTTGTTAGCCTTATGCTCTGGATTGTATTTTTATATTAAGCTACTGTTGGCTCTCTAAATTAAGAGTTATATTATGACTTCATTGCTTTTGATATTGTTTTTGAGTTATATTATGACATAAATCATTGCTGTGCTTTTTTTTTTTACATTTTAAGTTTATAAATTTTTTCCCAAAAATAGAAAAACTGTAAAAGAATACTCTTTTATTCACCCATATACCCACCCCCTAGATTCAGAATTTTTTTCCATGTTGTCATATACATGCTTCGTCTAAGTGTGTGTGCATGTACACATACTAAAATGTGTGTGTGTGTACTTTTTTACTGAAACATTTGGAAATTACAGATACCATGACAGTTCACCCATAAACACAATATTATGTAGCTCTTAAAATTAAGGATATTCTTTTTTGTAGCTATATAACTGATTCAGAAATTGACATGAGCTCCTTAATATCATCTAATCTCTTGGCCTTACTCACATTTAAAAAAAAATATACTCCAAAATGCCTTTAAATAGCTCTTTGGAGTTTTGTTTTGTTTTAGTCAGAATCCAATCAAAATTTATTTTGGTTGTTATGTCTCTTTCCTTTTTTATAACAGTGATTCTCTAACAGATCAGGCCAGTTATGTCTCATATTCAGTACTTGACTGGTTTCTAGTGATATTATAACTTTTCCTCTATTTCCTGTATTTTCTATAAATAGGAATTCAGACTTAAAGGCTTAATTAGATATGTTAAATATTTTGACAAAGATACTTCATAGGTGATTCAGAATTCTTTATATTACATCACTTCATAAAGCATATAAGGTCATTTGCTGTGCTCTTGAAACGCCCAAGCTACTGTTGACTCTCTAAATTAGGAGTTAAAAGTTTAACTGCCTGAGGAGCCAGGCTGGTAAACATACCTAAGTGAAGTGAGCCAGGCACATTGTACAAAGTAGAGAGCACAAACCCTGTCTAATAGGATCATTCACTGTTCAACAACAGCCAGTTCTTTTCAAGCAGGAATATGGGTCCAGAATTTCCTATTCTAAATTTTCAGAAGTCATATATCCAAAATTTTTAATATGTTTTAAGAATAGGATATAGGAATGCTATACTGTAATGCCTGCTTCTCACACTTGAGGTGGGGCCAGCCTTTGCTTGTTAGCTAGCCCTGGAATCCATATAATTTTCTTCCAAAGTTCCTTTAAAGGGACTGTATTTTATACTTTTATCAACAGTATGTGAGAGTCCCTAGTTCAGGTTCCATTTTAAGTAACATCTCTCTCTTTGCAGCATATCTGGGGATCTTACTGGAAAGAAGGCAGATGGGGATATAAATGCTGTCACTCTTTCGTTAAGTTTTCCTATTGCACTGGAGAAGCTGGGAAGGAGATTGTTGTAAGTAATTGTCCTCTAGTTCTTACAATTGTAAAACAACCAAATCTCCTAAGTCAAATCTTTGTGAAACATATATATCCTTATGCTTCAAATTTCAAATTTTTCTTCCATGATTCATAACTATGATACTCAAGTTCAATTACATGTATTTTCCTACAGAATTCAGAGGAATGTATTGTAGATGATATAATTGGAGAAGAATCCATGAAAAAACCTCAAACCCTCATGGAGGTAAGTCTATCATCATTTGTCCTGCGTTTTTAAATCCCTAAGGGAGGACTTTAAAACCTGCACTAGAGCTTTGTTTTTGCATTAAAAACACTATCTTTTAATTCTCCCTGCCAGATACATCAGGAAAAACTAAAAGAGGATAAAAAGAAGAAAAAGAAGAAGAAGAAGAAGCATCGAAAGAGCAGCTCAGATAGTGATGATGAAGAAAAGAAACAGGAAAAACTGAAAAAGGTACTTTATAAAGTCTAAATAGTAAAAGTGACAGTAGTATTCTATTAAAGATGAAGAAATGAGCTCCTCTTCTCACGTCACCTTGTATCAGGTCTAGAACATGAAGGGAGATTTTGTGTCTCTATATTGCCTGCTTCTTGGAATATTTGACAAATATCACTAAAGCACGGGGCGGGGGGGGGGGGGGGATGTGCCTTGTAATTTTAGAGTTATTAACATGTTTCCCAGAAAGAATTGCCTTCTAGCTCTATAACCTGTAAGTTTCATCAACTCCTTGGGAAAAGTCAGAGTTTCATTTTTCACCAGAAGCATCATTTGTGGGCTTCTTTCAGTAAAATGAACATCATTCAATTTTGGCTATTAAGTAAAAATTCTTTTTTTAATTAACCTTTTATTTTACTAGAGCAATTTTAGATCCAAATAAATTGAGCGAAAGGTATAGCTATTTCCTATAATATCACATTTATAGCATCCCATATGATCAACATCCTACACCAGAGTAGTACATTGTTAAAATTGTTGAAACTATATTGATGCATCATAATCACCCAACATCTATCTAGTTCACCTTAGGGTTCACTCTATTTTATTGGATTTATCGAGGTGACGTCGGTTAATAACATTATATAGGTTTCAAGTGTACAATACTTTAATACATTACCTGTATATTGTATTGTGTTTTTACCACCCTAAGTCAAGTCTACTTCCGTCACCGTTCTCCCCTTCCCCTGCCCCAGTCATCTTAAGTAAAAATTCTTTAAGATTGAAAAACTGTGGAATGGTTGGGGCTCTATGAAAATAATCATATGAGTCAAATAGTGATTAGCTGCAGCTTGATAGAAGGGCTGACTCCCAAGCTCTTTCAGGTAATCCAGGTTTTTGATGTAGCAGTTCATATTGAGTGGAGTCTTTGGGTTTTCTACTACTTTGGACCAAAAGAGAACTGATGTAGAGCCGTGGCACTCATGTTTTCCCTCTCCCTGCAGGCACTGAATGCAGAGGAGGCCCGCCTTCTTCAGGTGAAGGAGCTCATGCAGGTTGATGAGAGGAAGCGGCCTTACAATATCCTCTATGAAACCCGGGAGCCCACCGAGGAGGAGATGGAGGCCTACAGAATGAAGCGCCAGAGGCCCGACGACCCCATGGCCTCTTTCCTTGGACAGTAGGAACTGGTTGCAGATGGACATTCATGATACACACAGCCGATACATTCTTTTCAGCTTCTTTCCGATGATTGTAGATGGACAAGTCAGGGTCTGCTCATCTTGCTGCCTGACTTTAATAAAGCTTCCAGAAGTCTAATAGTAAATTCATTCCTTTCCATGCTGAAGGAATAGAAGAAAAATAAAGAGGAGGTACGTTAAGAGCAGATTAAGATTTTTATTTCTGATATGGAAAGAGGCCCCTGGCTGGCTTGCTCAATTGCTTGGCATTTTGAACGGTATATTAATTACTTTTTCTCAAAACTAGGGCTTCATTTTTTTAAAAAAATTAGTACCTGTAATTGTTATTTTATAGTCTTTTTTTTTTTTTTTGCCTTCTAATGTTTTCATGGTTTGCAATTAAAAAAAAAATATCTGAAAGGAAATTTATAGAACATGTGAGTAACCTTGGTAATAATTGGTAATAATTATTACCAATTTGGTAATAATTGGTAATAATTATTACCAATTTGGTAATAATTGGTAATAATTCTGTTTTGCATTCATTTATAAAATTTTGATTTTTTTAATATTTTCTTGTGTCTCACACCCAGAACTAAATGTGTTAGCCTCTGAGTGGAAAAATAGTTGTTTTGTCATTCTTGAGTCAGAGTTGACCAATCAGTGATAGGTCTCTTACCATTCTATATAATAAAAGTATAATAAGCAAATCAACCGAACAGTAGAATGACTGGTCGCTATGATGCGCACTGACCCACACTCAATGCAGGAACTGCTCCCTGGTGGTCAGTACATTCCCACGGGGGAGTGCCACTCAGCCAGAAGCCGGGCTCATGTCTAGCAAGTGCAGCAGTGGTGACGGGAGCATCTCCAGCTTCCACTGCAGACAGGCTGTAAGGAGTGAGGGGTCCCAGAGTGCAAGAGGGATGTCTTGACTACCAGCTTAGGCCCAATCAGACAGACATCACCCGAGGGGTCGCGGACTGAGAGAGGGTGCAGGCCAGGCTGAGGAATACATCTTATTCCTCTAGTTTTGGATATAAGCATTTAGACACAGAAATCCTTTATCATAGGGGATATTATTTGTGATACTATTTTTTTTGTTTTAATTGTGATTGCTTTTATGTAACAATTATGAATACTAAATTTGATTTTAAGAGTATAGAATTTCCTTGTACCTAATCTTTGTAGCCAGCAGGTGTCACTGTAAAATTTGCAAAAGCAAAACCTAAAGTTGACAGTTTCTTCAAAGAATTATAAGAATAGCTTGTAGGGCTACTCGCAACTGCGAATGCCATGATCCTCAAGCCTCTTCTATGAACATTGTGAAAATACTCACAGGAGGAACAGAGTCTGTGAGAAAAAAAAAAATAGTTAAAACCTTTGACATGAGAATATTGATTTTTAACAGCTCATTGGATTTTCTGAGCTACCAAAATATGCTATTGCATTAAGTTAGCATCTTAGAAATAATTCTGGTGGGAGCATAGCTGAGTTGTGAAGTACTATGGATATCTGCATGGTATCTAGATTCAGGCTGGTATGAAATTAAAGTAACAATGTAAATAGATCTAATTCTTAGCCACTTTAAGAATGTCAAAAGTTTATGTTTTCATATTCCTACTTAATGTAGGAGAGTTCAGCATAAATCTGAGATTGGCATTTATTTTTATCTTATTTATCTTCTGTTAATAAAGATTTATAATTGAGAAAAACTATGAATGGTTTAGCATTATTTCAAATATTTGGTAGGAAAGTGGTTGCTGATAGGGCTCCAAGAAAGCTTATGTTAGCATATGTGAGTTTGAATCAAATTCTCAGGGTTCTATTACTCAAAAAAATGTGTCACCTATCCTTTTTGGGCCTCTGTTCCCTCTTCTCTAAAGCCTAACTTACTCTAATTTTAGGAAGAATTCTGTAATACCTGAAATCATGTCTTATTTCTATTTCAATTCAGAGAAAAATGTAATACCCAAAATATTACTCAAGAGAATGTGTTTTGATTTTATCAAAAATTAGAGGCCCTGTGCACAAAATTTGTGCACAGGGGATGTGTGTCTCTCAACCCAGCCTTCACCCTCTCCAATCTGGAATTCCTCTCACAATCCAGGACTTCTGGTTCCCAAACACTTGACTGCCTGCCTGTCTGATTGCCCCTAATTGCTTCTGCCTGCCAGACTGATGATCCCTAACCACTCCCCTGCCAACCTGATCAATGCCTAACTGTTTCCTTGCTGGCTCAATTGCCCCTAACTGCCCTCCCCTGCTGGCCTGGTCACCCCCAACTACCCTCCCCTGCCAACCTGGTTGCCCCTAACTGTCCCCTGCAAGCCTGATTGACCCCAACTTCCCTGCTGGCCTGATCACCTCCAACTGCCCTCCCCTGCAGGCCTGGTTGCCCCCAACTATCCTCCCCTGCCAGCCATCTTGTGGTGGCCATCTTGTGTCCACATGGGGGTGGCCATCTTGTATGTTTGAGTGACAGTCAATTTGCATATTACTCTTTTATTAGATAGGATAGCTGCTTTTTGAGTGCTGAAAATTTGTGCTGTAATTTTCATATATAACATCTCAAAAGAACTGAATGGGGCCCTGGGTGGTGTAGCTCCTTGGTTAAAGTGTCACCCCCTCCCACACACACACATACATACACATGGATTTGTTCCTGGTTAAGGCCACGTACCTGAGGTTGCAGGTTCAATCCCCAGCACATCCTGATACATATAGGAGGCAACCAAGGTGTTTTTCTCACGCCAATGTTTCCCTCCCTTCCATTCTATCTAAAATCAACAGATATCCTGGGTAAGGATTAACAACAACAACAACAAAAAACTGCATGGGGTAATGGGTGGTATCCCTACTTTACAATAAGCACTTTAGCTTAATGAATCCAAGTCATTTGCTCAGAGCCTAACAGTTGAAAGTGTCAGCCCCAGGACAGGAAGCCAGGTACCTCTGACTCTAAAGCCAACTCTTCTCTAGTATTTAAGCCCCTGGTTCCATGGCCAGGAATGCTGTCTTTGGCAATTTCTTCCGTTAACAGAAACCTGGAGCAGGCCCTCAGTCTTAGCCAAGTTCACCCTCTGACAAAATTAACTATCCAGAAATGAAATGTCATTTCCTGAAGAATTCTGGATGAAAATACCAGATAAAAAAGAGGGCTATAATTGGGTTTGTGGGTGTTTTTTGTTTTTTGTTTTAATTGATTATAGAGAGCAAGGAAGAAGGAGAGATAGAAACAACAATGATGAGAATCATTGATCATCGGTTGCCTCATGCACTCTATCCACTGGGGATCATGCTGGCAACCCCATTCTATCCACTGAGCCAAACTGGCTAAGACTGAGTTGTTTCTTTAAACAATGTTTTCTCGTTTATCTGATCTAGCTTTACTATTTCAAAGTCCTATTTAAAAGAAGAATAAATAAAAATATTTTCTCTAAGATGGGTGATGATTCTCAGGAAATTCACCCAAATTTATGGAAGGAGTGGGGGGGGGGGGGGTGATGGGTGTGGGCAAGGAGACCTAAGCTCTGTCCCGTTTGCCTGAATGTTTGGGAGTACAAGGAGCCTCCTCTTACTCGTCATTGGCTACACATAAAAAAAATGGTAAATTATTAGAGCTATACAAGTTCAAAGCTTGACACGCTATAAAATTTTACCTCTAGTGCGCTGAAGAACTGTGTAGATTTTTTTAAAATGTATTTTATTTATTTTTTACAGAGAGGAAAGGAGAGGGACAGAGAGTTAGAAACACCGATGAGAGAGAAACATGGATCAGCCACCTCCTGCACACCTCCCACTGGGGATGTGCCCGCAACCAAGATACATGCCCTTAACCGGAATCGAACCCGGGACCTTCCAGACCGCAGGCCGATGCTCTACCCACTGAGCCAAACCGGTTTCGGCAGATTTTACACTGCCTGCCATTCTTTAGATTCTACTTTTCTGGTACATACACTAAACAAAAAATTCCCAGCTCCACGTACACAGCCTAAAAAAAAGCAGGGGGAGACGGCCAGTGCGCATGCTCCTTACCCGAGCCCGCCGGGCCCTCAGCAGGCTGCTAACGCGCCTGCGCGCCCGGAGCCGCCCGGCCCAGCCTGCGGGCGGGAAGCCGCCGCAGAACCCGGATGGGAGGCCGGCGGCGCGACGGGGGCGGAGGCGGCGGCGGCGGCGGCGGCGGGGCGCCTGTGTCACTCAGGTCCCTGCTCCGGGTTCACACCTAAGGAGCCTCCTTCTGCACCTGGGGCCTGCGACGGGCGCCTCCGGGAAGCCCGAGCGCGTCCTCCGGGCCTGAGCCTCCCGCTCCGGGCCGGGCGGGTGCAGACGGAGCGGGTCCTCCTTCCTCGCCCGGGCAGCCTCCTAAGCATCGTCCGTAATACGCACACCAACAGGTCCTTCCTTCCTACCACTTGCGGGAGGCGCGTGCCCGCCGCGCATGCTCACAATTAGACATCCCAGCGACCCCGCCAGGTAGGTACCATTGTCATCCCGGCCCAGCCCGCCAGGGACAAAGCCGGGGTCGCAGGCTTCTGCCTCCGGGCCGTTCGCTCGTCTCGTCCCTTTTCTCCCCCCCGGCGATTTGCTTTGAACTGGCAAAGGTAACGATGAAATCCTCTGCCTGCCCACACACCCGCCCCTGCCGCGGACTCACTCGCATAGACTAGATAGAAGGCGAATCGAATCGGGTTTGGAGTTTGAGGTTTACAGCTGTGCTTCGGTGTTGTCACTGCTGAGATAGAGGGGTTAGCATTCCCCCAAATATTTCTGTTATGTGAATGGTCACCTTTGAACTGTTTGGTTTTTTTCCCCCTCCCTCAATCGTAATATTTTTTCATATCTATCCTTATACTTAGTAAACCTGAAAAAAAAAAAAAAAACCAACAACAACACCATTCCACCTTGTTATTTCAGATCTCTCATTTTGAATCTCAGAAGAAGTCTGTGTGATAAGAGTTTTGGAAACTTTGGGGATCGCTTATTTATCTGGGAAATAAAGTTGTTTGTAAGGTATAGTTGAGCCTACCTTTGTATGATACCTTTGCTCATTGTTCAGGAGGGAAAAAGGAAAAAGGGAGTTGTCCTCAATTCAGAAAACTTAAATGCCTATTAAAGCATTTAGACTCTTTACTTAGCAGCCTAAAACAGTTCCGAGTAAGCCTAGAGACTGGCCTGAACACTCCTCTCAGTCTGACTGGATAGCAGGGTATGTATCAGAATCACCTGGACAACTTTCTGATTCCTTTGTCTTACTTCTGGAGATGATTTATTGGTTCTAAGGTAGGACATGGGCATGTATGCTTTCAAAGGGGATCCCAGTAATTATGATGGGCATCTCTTGTTAGAGATTACTGTTGTAGTTACTCTTCACAAGAATTATCTAAAAATGCTTCTTTACCCAAAACCGGTTTGGCTCAGTGGATAGAGCGTCGGCCTGCAGATTGAAAGGTCCCAGGTTCGATTCCGGTCAAGGGCATGTGCCTTGGTTGCGGGCACATCCCCAGTAGGGGGTGTGCAGGAGGCGGCTAATCAATGATTCTCTTTCATCGACGTTTCTAACTCTCTATCCCCCTCTCTTCCTCTCTGTAAAAAAATCAATAAAATATATATATTTTTTTAAAATGCTTCTTTAGAACACAGATTCTGGGCCCCTATTTCAGAGCTAGAGAATGGGAATCCCCAGGGGCGCTGCCCAGGAATTTGCATTTTAGCAAGGGACTTAGACGATTCCTCCATTTACTAACCTGGAAAACCACTGCCTTGGATTAAGCCAAGTCTTAGACATGCTGCTTATTTTCCTTTTGTGGTTCTGACTTTTCTTAACTGCTTTTACAGAGTGACAGTTATATGAAAAAGCATCAGGAAATTGCTTGTAATTAAGAGAAATTTTTCTGAAGAATTAGTAACAAGAATAGTTAGCATAGTTGTGTTTCTCCTAAGCAAATTGTTTTTGCTTTTCTATATAAACAGTATGAATCATGTTACACTCTAGCAGCAGGAATCTCTGAGCCAAACTTGTGTCCCGCTTCTCTGTGGAGAAAGGCTTACTCGGAACTGTTTGATGTTTTCTGCTTACGTTGCAGTCAGAGCCACTCAAGGATCAAGCGGTTTTACAGACCTGTTTAATCCTTAGCTATTAAAAAGAAGTAGCCACCTGTCGAAATATCTGCCCTTTCTTAAAGTATTTAGTGAATTATTTCCTTCTCTATTCAGTGCTTCATCACAGGGGTGTGCATACATTATTGGCCCAAGATGGAAGGAAAGGGTGGTAGTGAGATGCCTTTTCTGGGAGAACAAAATGTACCAGATATGTTTGGAATATACATCTTTGAAAACTAATTAAGCCATAACTACATTTCGCCAGTAGAGGATGTAAGGGTATTCACAACTTGCATGAACCCAAACCTCCCATATATAACTTGCTGGCAAGTCACATATTCCAGGACTTTAGCTGTGAATTTTAGCTGTAAGTTGAACTGTCATGCCGTCATGGCTTACTTTGAACTGACATCTATCTTACAGGATATTTCTTGACATGAACACAGATTAACAGGATGGCATGTGATGTGGCATTGTCTTAATTTGGTTAGCCACTGATTTTTAATGCATGGGTTATATTTTACTCCCAAAGCAAAATTCGGCAGCATCTCTGGAATACTACCTGAACATTTGTTGGGGGTACCATGTCGAAGAAACGCAAATGGGATGATGACTATGTTCGTTACTGGTTCACCTGTACAACGGAGGTTGATGGAACTCAGCGCCCACAATGTGTATTGTGTAACTCGGTATTTTCAAATGCTGACCTCAGACCATCAAAACTGTCTGACCATTTCAACAGACAGCATGGTGGGGTCGGTGGGCACGACCTCAATAGCCTGAAGCGTATGCCCACACCATCTGACCAGAACCAAGCCGTGAAAGCACCTGGAGTTGCATCTTCAGAGGATACCTTACTACAAGCATCCTATCAGTTTGCGTATTTATGTGCCAAAGAGAAGAATCCTCACACAATAGCTGAAAAATTAGTGAAACCTTGTGCATTGGAAATAGCGCATATAGTTTTGGGGCCAGATGCACAAAAGAAGCTTCAGCAGGTCCCTTTATCAGATGATGTGATCCATTCAAGAATTGATGAAATGAGCAAGGATATCTTACAGCAAGTTCTAGAAGATATCAAAGCCAGTCCTCTTCAAGTGGGTATTCAGCTTGCTGAGACCACGGACATGGATGACTGCAGTCAGCTAATGGCATTTGTGCGATACATAAAAGAAAGAGAGATCGTAGAAGAATTCCTGTTCTGTGAACCATTGCAGTTAACAATGAAAGGAAGGGATGTGTTTGATCTCTTCAGAGACTTCTTTATAAAGCATAAGATAGCACTCGATGCATGTGGCTCTGTTTGTACTGATGGTGCGTCATCTATGTTAGGAGAAAATTCAGAATTTGTTGCTTGCGTGAAAAAAGAAGTACCTCATATTGTGATCACACATTGCCTGTTGAACCCTCACGAACTTGTCACAAAGACATTGCCTGCAAAGCTGAGGGATGCTCTGTTTACTGTTGTAAGGGTAATAAATTTCATCAAAGGGCGAGCTCCGAATCATCGCCTGTTTCAGGCTTTTTTTGAAGAGATTGGAATTGAGTATAACGTCCTCCTTTTCCACACGGAAATGAGGTGGCTTTCCCGAGGCCAAATACTTACTCATATTTTTGAGATGTATGAAGAAATAAATCAGTTTCTTCACCACCAAAGCTGTAATTTAGTTAATGGCTTTGAAAATAAAGAGTTTAAAATTCACCTAGCCTACCTTGCAGATTTATTCAAACACCTAAATGAACTTGGCGCATCAATGCAAAGGACTGGGATGAATACAGTATCAGCTAGAGAGAAGTTATCTGCTTTTGTTAGGAAGTTTCCATTCTGGCTGAAGCGAATTGAAAAAAGAAATTTTACTAACTTTCCTTTTCTTGAAGAAATAATCGTTTCAGAGGATGAAGCAGGAAACATTGCAGCTGAAATAACACTGCATCTGCAGCTGCTGAACAGCTCCTTCCATGGATATTTTTCTGTGGGAGATCTTGATGAAGCGAGTAAATGGATATTGGATCCATTTCTTTTTAACCTGGATTTTGTTGATGATGGTTATTTAATGAAAAATGATCTTGCTGAATTACGAGCTAGTGGCCAAATTTTAATGGAGTTTGAGACAATGAAGCTTGAGGATTTCTGGTGTGTGCAATTCACAGTGTTTCCAAACCTGGCAAAGACAGCTCTAGAAATCCTTATACCATTTGCCTCAACATACCTTTGTGAGTTGGGATTTTCAACACTTTTACATTTTAAAACAAAGTCCAGAAGCTGCTTTAACATGAGTGATGACATTCGTGTGGCTATTTCCAAAAAAGTTCCTCGTTTCTCAGACATCATTGAACAAAAGCTACAGCTACAGCAGAAATCACTGTAAACTGCTATGCTTTTTTAATGTATAAGTTTTAATACATTCTTAATTCTGCTGTAAAATTAAGCTACCAATTCTGTTTCTTTCCTTTTATGATATACTGAATCCTATGATTAAAAAATTTAGCATCTTTAACTTTTAATAAGAAGAATGCAAGCAGCAGGAAAGATGTAAGTACCACTACCTAGTGGATACATAGGGTTCTTCTAAGTGTCTGTCTAACCCGTTGATGTGATACATTAGAAAAGACACCAAGCACTAGAATATCCAGCCAAATGGTGCAGCATTCTAAGGAATGGAGCCAAGAAAAAAAGAGACTTCCCATAACACCCAATTCATGTTAAGAGTAAAAGTCAAAGGACAAAATGACAGACTGAGGCTTCCTATGTCTCTGAGGGCTGTTATAGACAAGTTAATGAAGATGATTATGAAATGTCCTAGTCCAGTGGTCAGCAAACCACAGCTCTCAAGCCACATGCAGCTCTTTGGCCCCTTGAGTGTGGCTCTTCCACAAAATACCACATGCAGGCGTGCTCGTACAGTACGATTGAAATTTCGTGGCCCATGCGCAGAAATCGATTTTCAACCTGGTCATTAGAAGTGGCATTAGAATACTCAAGGGGCCAAAGAGCCACATGTGGCTCTCGAGCCGCAGTTTGCCGACCACTGTTCTAGTGGGAGAAAGGATGATTCTAGTTTGTATTTATTTTTAAATGTATTCTTTGGAGTTAGTCTCAGAGTGTGCAGTCCTCTAGCTACCATGCTCTAAATATGACATTAATAAATATCCTAATATCCTGTTAGTCAATCTTTGTCTTCTTTTAAATTACATCAGGACTCTAAGTCAAGGAGGCTGCTAAAAAGGCAATTCCAAAGCCTTACGCTAGAGATTCTGATTTAGCAGGTTTGGGATATAAGCAAGGATCCTCATTCTTAATCAGCTTTCCAGATATTCTGTGATGGAATTGTTGGTCGTCTGGCCTCATCTTATTTCTTTTACACTTATTTTTCCTTTATCCCAGTTTTCTCTTTTGTTTTATATTTTCGTATATTTTTCTAACATAGTTTAAAACTTTTTAAAAATATATATTTTATTGATTTTTTTTTTTAACAGAGAGGAAAGGAGAGGGATAGAGAGTTAGAAGCGTCAATGAGAGCGAAACATAGATTCAGCTGCCTCTTCCACACTTCCTACTGGGTATGTAGGAGATTCTGTCCTTGACCAGAATCGAACCTGGGACCCTTGATTCTGTAGGCCGACACTCTATCCACTGAGCCAAGCTGGTTAGGGCTGGATTAAAACTTAAGCGGATCAGAATATAAATAATAAATAAATGGACATGAAGACATGATAGTAATTAAGGATCATCAAAAAGCCCTATGAGCTTAAGTTGATGTACTCTTTCTAAATGATAATTTGGCAAAATAATTTTTAATTTAAATAAATTTACACTTTTATTTCAAACCTGTAGTGTTTTATCAAAGTATTGGATGCTCAAGGCTCAGGAAAAAAACAAGTCCTATAATGAAAAGCCTGGTTAGTCGGCCCTGGTTAGTGTTGCTAAATGGTGTCAGCCTGTACACCAAAGGTTCATGGGTTGGATTCCTAGTCAAGGGCTGGTACCTGGGTTTCGGGTTCGATAGGAGTGTGGGAGGCAACCAATCAATGTCTCTCTTTTCCTCTCCCCCACCTTCCACTCTTTAAAAAAAGTGGATGGAAAAATATCTTTGGGTGAGGATTAACAAAAAGTAAAGAAAAAAAAAGAAAAGCCTCAATCTTCTTCCCACCCAGTTGCCTTAACCATTTCTGCTTTACCTTTCTGAGGTTCCACCCCTATAGCTAAGAAATATGTTTATACCAAACACATATGCCAGTTTTGATTTATCAGTTTTAGAACTTATATATTGACTGCTCTAGCTAATAGGTAAGGATTGAATTTCTAAAGCATCCATCTCCTCTCCTGCTACTCTTAATTTTTTATTATCATTATGACACTAATTTTAGTTCCTCTATTGATTATTCATAGCTCTTTGAAGATTGTTCCCTCTAGGGATTTATCGCATGGGGATAAAGAATCGGGGACTTCCACAAAGTTTTATTTATGAGGTGGGTGATCACAGCATTTTATAATAGTGAAAACTTGAGGGGAGGGAGGAACTAGAAGGGAATGGAATGTGACTACCATTTGAAAACTGTAAATATATATTGTCTACACAAAACTAAACATTATCACCATTCAGCAAAATACTTGTGTCAATAAATACATGCCTTCTTTCATTTTAAAATGTAGTTACAAAGTATGTCTTTATTTTTCTTAGTGTAATCTAATGTCAAAAACAGTTGGGAAATTTCCAAAGATAATAAAAAAAAAAATCTGAATGAGTATGTTTAATGCTTGATATGTTGGCATGATGAGGCTGGCTCTGGAAGTGTGAAAACTGAACATTTAAAAATTGGTTTCTACTGCAACTGAAACTAATGCCCATGCCAGGGTGAAGAGCCACTGCAGAGATGATACAGCAATAGGAAGCTGAAGAAGAAGAAACAAGTCCCTCTCTACCCCTCCCTCTGGATTTACACTACCTCTCTTGCATCTCTTATTTGCATAGCCTTACAGAAATCTAGGTGGTGGAGAAAGGTACTCAATGGGATTATAATCCCAACATCTCAAAGCAGATTATAGAAAGTATAGAAGGATGGATTTGAAGATGAAAGACAATAATTTAACCAGCACATTCTACCCCTTTGGCTATTTTAGCATCCATTCAGCCCTTTCTATCCATATTTGAATTTCTATACAATAAACATAACTTTGTAGGGGGTTTAAGGTGTAACTATTCTTTGTACAAATGAGGAGACCCAAAGTCTCAACTCACTCAAATTTAATAGCAGTCCCGTTAATCTGTTGCCTAAAATCCAGCCCCAACAACCAAGTTTGTTTTTGTTTTTGTTTTTGTTTCTGTTTTTAGGGGGGGGGGCAGGTGTAGAGGGGATCTCTAGGTATAAATCACCTCTCTATTAAAATAAACAATGAACCCTTGATACAGGTCTATTAGCACAGAAGAGCAGAGGGAAAGAGTCCAAGAAAGCATAAACAGCTATCCGTGATCAGTGTTAAGCTGCAATCATGGGAATGATTTTGTTTCCAAAGCCCCCATGAGTCACTCGGTTTGTTAAATATACTAGAACACATCAGGATTTAATTTAAATGTCTATAAAGCAGAGAGTAAAACGAGGGTCTTTCAGACATGACTAGAGTTGTGTGTGATTTATGTGCCTTATTTAATTCAGCAGACCTTTCTGGAGCACCTCTGAGAAATGTGTAATTCAGTCTCTGTCTTACTAGCTTTGTAATCTTTGGGCACGGCCAGTGGATTCTTTATCTGCATACTTAGGAGAATCAGGAGAGACTGAATCGGGTGAGTTTTAAACGGTCACTTCAGGCTTTGTAATTTGCAGGAGCTGAAATGGTCATTGAAAGCTTCATAAACTCAAAACTGTCTAAAACATGAATTTTAAGAAAGAGGCTTCATTCTTCAGTAACTTGATGTTACCATACTAATGAATTTGAAAATTATACAGTCAACTGTGTAAATGATTATGTATATCTTTATAACTATATATTAATTTATTACCAGAATAATTGTATTGGCATGCTCAATAAAGTCAGATAATTCAAATCTAAAAAAAAAATAAATAAATAAAATAAAATAAACAATGATAACAAACTGGTACAAAACCACCCTGAAATTCTTTAGAAACTTGGTTACAAAACAACACCATTCATTAGGATGTATCATGCCTTAACCAGGCCAATTTCAGTCCCCTTGGCATTACAGCACATGCCCAGAATGGTCAGTGACAATCTCAACTTCCAATTCAGTTGAACCATTGTTACATCCTCTGGTGAACCAAGATTTCCAAACCATGAGTTCAGACCTGCACCAAAGGGAAGCAAAAATTCTTTGAGTTATTATTAATAGATACAATAGTCAAAGTCACTCCCACATCTATCCCTTGATTCCTGGACCAATGCATTCTGCCTTGGAAATGAAACAAAACCATACTCGTTGGTTACCAACTCAAAGCACATATTGCATCCTACAAGATTGAACCTTATTCTGTTAGGTTATTTTTTTCCCAACAGCAAGTGTCTGATTCTTAAGTAGATCAATCTATCATTCAAACAAGACCAGGTTTTTCTGGGTGATGAAGTATATGACAAGACCAATAAATTACACAGGAAACAATTTGTTTCCACACTCTGTTATGGAATAAATGTGTCCACCCTAAAATTCATATGATAAAACCGTAACCCTCAATGAGATGTTATTTTGAGTTGGGGCCTTTGGAAGATAATTAGGGTTAGATAAGCTCATGAGGGACCCTGGCCGGATGAGATGAGTGCCTTCATTAGAGACAACAGAGAGCTTGCTGTCTCTCTGGAGTATAAAGGAGGTCATATGAACACAAAGAGAGATAGAGACCACTTACAAGAGAAGAGGTTTCAGAATGAAAGCTACTTTGCCATACCTTGATCTTGGATTTCCCAGCTTCTAGAACTATAGGAAATAATGTTTATTCAGTCTATGTATTTTCTTATGGCACTCTAAGCAGAATAGCACACACTCCTTTGCTAATCCTTGATGAGGTGCAATTGGTACATGATACATGACAGTTGGCAGAAGTACTAAAAGCAATCCTTATCCAGGTTATGTGTCTTTTCCAGTGAGAGTGAATTGCTGCCCATTCCATGATAGAAGGGGTAGAATACAATTAGCCTGCTACCAAGTGCCCATATCAAGGCTCAGTGTTGGTCTCTGCTCTCTGCTGTCAGCAGGTCAGGCACTCAGTAGGTCAGTCTTGGTGAGGAGAAGTCCATGTTGATGACCCTGTGATAAGCCTCCATCCTTGCCAACATGACCACTCTTTACAGGGGCCTGTTGAGCAATCATTAGGAATGCTGGAGAAAGACTAATAGCTATAAAATATATCATCGTGTCCTCACAATTATTAAGAGCCTCCTTTGTTAAGTTCAGCAAAGCCATCAGGTAGTCCCCTAAGCCAAAGTCAGCTGTCACAGGAGACCCATATGTGCCTTAGTATTCCTGCCACTCTTGGTTATTTGCTAAGAGCAGTCCAGGTACAGTGATGAATTTCAGAGTGTAGTAGCTTGGACTCATGGGTAATTATATTTCCTATAGCTGTATGCCGGCACAGTACATTATTATGATTATACAGTGTCCTTTGATTTCAGAAGGAAGAGTTAGAAACATCAATAATGAGAGAGAATCATTGATTGGCTACCTCCTGCTCACCCCACACTGGGGACTGAGCCTGCAACCCTGGCATATGCCCTGACCAGAAATTGAACTGTGATCTCCTGGTTCATAAGTCGATGCTCAACCACTGAGCCACACTGGCTGGGCTGTCTCTGAATTTGCAGCTACAAGAGATTTGAGATACCGTATTTTTCCGTGTATAAGATTCCCCCATGTATTAGACACCCCCACTTAGCAACCCAAAATTAAGAAATCAACATTTTAAACATTTTGTTGGTTTTCCTCTTAAGGCCTTCTTTTTTGGAATCTTAAGGAGTTGTTCTTCCTGTTTTCTCCACTGTCTGATCATACACTCAGTGGGAGGAGATCCAAATTGTCTCTCTGCAGCTCTATTTCTTATGCTCTTTTGCATAGCTGATTATATACAGTTTGAATTTTACAGAGTAAGACAATTGCTTACTGGTTACTTGTCTTTTTATTTTTTGACATCTTTATGGGCTCAGAACACTCGGGTCCCTGTTGCATCTGCACACTCTCCTTTTCCACATTCATTTATGGCATCAGCTGTTGTCAGCAACAATAAGGCTAGTGTGGGGAGGGAGGGTATATATGGGAGGAGGGGGGGCATTGGAATATGTACAAAAATAATAATTTAATAAAAAAATATAATAAAAAACAATAAGGCTAGTGATTGGAGGAGGCCTCTTTGACAAGGTATGGGCAGCTACGTACCCACGTGGCTCCCTCCTCGGCTGACTTCATGTATAAGATGCCCCTCGATTTTCAATCTAACGATTTTAGAAAAAAATAGCATCTTATACACGGAAAAATACAGTACTTTGAGGACTGACTCCCTACCCCATAGAATCTCCATTGCTCTCTGACTGGGACTTGAGCTGAGATATTAGAGAGTTGAGTGTGTCCTTTCTGTATGCACACCAGGGCAGTCAGAAGGAGCCACCTGCCCCAGTCCTTGTAGTCATTATTGCTCCCAGCAGCCACTTGGTCCCTCAGGACACCTAGTTCAGGAGGCTTTTCATCACAGTGATTTATCAGTGCCACTGGATATCACATTTCATTTCCATGACAAGGAGCTCAACATTACATTCAAGTCTAAAGACAAACCCCTACACCTGAGAAAATGTCATTTGTGAGGATCTGTTTCCTGAGATTCCTGGTAAAAACTTCTGATCAGTCAATGTTCAGTCAGGAGACACAAACTTCTCCAGTCACAACAGCTAGCAGATAAAAAATTTCTTTCTAGCTGCTAGCCAAATTTCACATATTCAATTTCATCATGCCTCATTTTCTTAGTCTGGGATTTCTGCTTTTCTTCCAAGCCAAAAGGCAGGGTTAGACCTTTACTTCTAATATTTCCTCCCAAAATGATGCTGGGAAAGCTCTGGTTTCTCCACTCATCCAGAGACTGCTTGTTCTAAGCTTGATTCTGTAAAGCAGGAGCCTCCAGCCCTTCTCAGTGGGACTTTTCCTCAAATCAAACGTCTGTTCATTTCGGATCCTCACAGTTGAGTTGTGAAACCTCATCAAGAACTTATTGCATCAGATTCCAAAACGAGGTCTCCCCAACTGGGGCCCTTCAAGTTACATCTGGAAACGAGCTGGATCTTTTCTGGGTCATTTCCCGTTGAATGTGAATCATGTCTATTTTGGTCTGACTTCGTTTGTACTGGGGCTCTAGCTGGCTCAGGGCTTTAACTCTCATGAAACCTTAAACCAGAAAAGCCTCTCAGAACTCCCTGGTTCTTCTTTTTCTTCCCAGGAAAACTGCTCTGCCCAACTAAATATGTCCTGTAGAAGGAACCTGTGGCTGGGCCAGATCCGCACTCACAGCCCAACTCAGCCCGCCTCTCCCTGTGGAACCCTGGGAAGATGGCCCGCCTCTGTGCCTTGGTTCCTTCAACTGTACAATGGGAGAAATGTTTGTCCCAAACCTGGAAGATTTGAAACGTGTGTTTTTTAAATGCAAGTATATAATACTTGAGGGTTTATGATTATTAACTCTCTAAACTCTCTGCCATATCCCCAGATCTAGCTTATCCATAAGAGCAAAGGAAGAATTTCCAAGAAATGGAACACAGCATATACTTTGTTTTAATCCTCACCTGAGGATATTGGTTTTTTTCTTAATTGATTTTTAGAAAAAGAGAGACACTTTTTTAAAAATTTTATTGAGGGAAGGGGTGTCCAAAATTAATAGACTTTCATGGTTTTTTTAAAAAAATAAACTGTTCCAAAAGTCGTATGGTGAAAAATATCTCCCTTTTGCCACTGTGTTCCAGTTCCCCAGTCAGAGACAGTGTCTTGTATCATGGTTTTTTGTACATCCTTCTGGAGCTTGATTATACTCCTACATCCATGTGTTTGTGTGTTTTCCTCACCTCCTCTTCATGTAACCTGCATGGTATAAAATGAAGCACACTGCTTTCTCACTATCTTAAAGATAATTCCATAATAGTACATAGAGGTCTGCCTCTATTACTTAATTAGTCCTCTATTGCTAGACATTTTGACTGTTTACAGTCTTTTATCAGTTCAAACAAGGTTGCCAAGTCATCCTCATAATCCCAGGATAAATTACAGGAAATAAAACAGCTATGTCAACAATAAATCGTGTATGTTTTCATTTTTATAAATTTTCCAAGTTCAGCCGAAACCGGTTTGGCTCAATGGATAGAGCATCGGCTTGGGGACTGAAAGGTCCCGGGTTCGATTCCGGTCAAGGGCATGTACCTTGGTTGCAGGCATATCCCCAGTAGGGGGTGTGCAAGAGGCAGCTGATCGATGACTCTCATCGATGTTTCTAACTCTCTATCTCTCTCCCTTCCTATCTGTACAAAACCAATAAAATATATTTTTAAAAAATTGCCAAGTTTAGCTGTCATCTTGCTGCATTTAAGTGACAACGTTCGCTCCAACATCAGCCTCTCTGTGGAATGGCAGCGAGTCCTCTCCATGTACAGCTGTCCCCAGTACTGCGACATTAGCGAGACTGCGCCTGGGGGGATCTCATGCTGGAGAGCCTCCCAGCCCCAAAGCCCCTCGATGAAAGTAAATATTGACAGCGTGGGTTGTGACCATTAGCTGTTCGGAATGTTCAACAGCCATTTTAAACACGCTTTTATACCAAAATCAGAGTAAAGAAAATGTTGAAAAAAGGCCAACAGGAAGGTCTACATTTATTGTAAAAAGTATTACATAGGTCCTTTTTCCTTTTCCGGCCCGCCCTATCCACCCCCCAAATAACCCCCCAGGCCTTCACCACCCCATTGTCTGTGTCCACGTGTTAAGCATCCCATCCACTCTCCCCTGCCTTCCCTCTGAAGTTTATCAGTCAGAATCTCTACATTTTTAAAAATATATATATTTTATTGATTTTTTTACAGAGATGAAGGGAGAGAGATAGAGAGCTAAAAACGTTGCACACCCCCCACCAGGGATGTGCCCGCAACCAAGGTACATGCCCTTGACCGGAATCGAACCTGGGACCTTTCAGTCCGCAGACCAACGCTCTACCGCTGAGCCAAACCGGTTTCGGCCAGAATCTCTACATTTTAATAATGGATGCAAGACAAAATGATCTTGAACTTTATCTTGACTCCACAACTATCCAGTCACTGAAGGTCTCTGGACCTTTGTCCTTGTGTGTGAAATGAAGACTACAGATGAAGTTATTTCCCAGGATCCTTCCTGCTTTGAGACGCTGAAGATTCAGATGGAGTGAAGGTCAGGGTCACTTGTCCTCCCAACCACACTGTATTCAAAAAGCAAGAGATATTGCAAATCAGTACAGTATTCATATCTAAATCGGTGGTACAGTTGGGCAAGGATTTAGACAGTGATGAGTTGGTAAACAGGCTGAGGACTGAGTTGCGGGGGAAGACAGCCTTGATTTGTAACATTTGCTAATTTGTAACAAAACTGGAAAACGCTGAAACCGGTTTTGCTCAATGGATAGAGCGTCGGCTTGGGGACTGAAAGGTCCCAGATTCGATTCCGGTCAAGGGCATGTACCTTGGTTGCGGGCATATCCCCAGTAGGGGGTGTGCAAGAGGCAGCTGATCGATGACTCTCATCGATGTTTCTAACTCTCTATTTCTCTCCCTTCCTCTCAGTACAAAATCAATAAAATATATATATTTTTTAAAAAAAACTGGAAAACCATCCACCCCTCATTCTTCTGTTTACTCCACCAGGAGACATTTTTTAAATGCTAGCTGGGTGCCTAGTGTGGCACCACTGCCTTTTCCTATACTTTTCATTAACCATTTTCTTACCAGCAAGAAGGAGCAGGCCAGAACTTTCAACATGTACCAGTGGAGCCCTCAGGGTAGCACATAGAGACTCCTAGAACTGGGCCAGAGAGTTGGTGAGGCCAGCAAACCCTTTTCTTCTGGGAGAAGGAAGGGGAAGGTTGAGAGGCAGGGGCACGTGCCCACACTGTTATGTATGCGCACACATCTGGACAAAATCCACACCAAGGCTCACATACATATAACACTCTGAAGGAGCCACTGTATAAATAGGTGCCCACAGATACCGTGCACATACATACTGGTACGTCGTTATGCATACTCACATACACATTAAGCATGTACCCAACGCACAGATATCCAGACACTACTGTGTACACCCAGCAACTGACTTACACGCCGGTCGCACACCAGGCTGCAAAAGTAGACACGTGGACGTGCAAGTAGTGGACGTGCATACACAGGCACTCACCCATGTACACACACACACACCCGCGATTCTCACAAGTACACGCACAGTCAGTACACCGAGAAATGTACTCCATTGTAAGCGTCAAGCCCACCCGCACCCTCATATCTACAGCGATGTCACTGCTCACGCGCAAGCAACACATACCCATACGCTTGCAAACGCCTGGTGACAATCACTTTGGTGCAACGCAAACCTCCAAATACACTGACAGGTTCTACACACGGAGAGAGGAGAGACGCATCGGTACCCCCAAGTGGCCACCAGCGCTTCAAGTTTTTTGCAAACCAGCTCGGAAGGGAGAGCCCTGTGTGTGCAGCGGGCCGGCCCACGTGACCGGGAAGGCGCTCCGCGGTGACGGGATGGGAAAAGTATGCCGGGGCGGGCGCGGGGCGGCTGCTGGGGCCGCGGGAGGCGGGAGGAGGGAGGCGGGAGGAGGGACGCGGAGCGAGGCCGACAGCCTGGTCGCTCCGGAGGCTCCCGGACGCGGGGCAGCGAGGGTGAGTGTCCTCCGGCTGCCCACTCCCCGGGGAAAGGGCGGGCGGGGAGAGGAGGGGAGCATTCGTGGGAGTCGGTGGGAGTGGGAGGACCGCGAACGCCCCTCCTTTGCAGGCCGGGCAGCCCTCGGATTCCTACCTCTTGACCTCCTCCTTCGGGAGTATATTTACTATGAATTCACCTTTACTGAGCGCTCTCCGTGTGCCCCTGGTTCACCTGTGATAGCTTTGTAGCTCTACCGCTTACCGAGCGCCTAATCCGTGCCAGGCCCGGCCCGCCCTCTGCAGCAGCAAGCTGTTTCATCTCCATGACAACAGCTTCTCTGCCTCTGCAAAAGGGGAACCGGGCTCAGAGGGGTTAACGGCTTGCTCAGGGCTGAACACCTGGTAACTGGTGGCAAAGGGATTTGAGCCCCGGTGAGTCTGAGTCCAGTACCGGAGCTAACAATCCTCGCTAATATTCATCGAGTGCATTAGCTCATTTACTCTTTACAGCATTTAATTAAATGCATATTATACAGACCCGCAAACTAAGCTCAAAAGGTACTAAGCGGCAAGCTGAGATTTGCACCCAGTTCTAAACAACTCTTGTCACTCCCCATGCTCCCCCAAACTTTGTTCTTCTTTCTCCATCCCCATCGCCACTGGCCCCATGGCTGGACTGGATGGCAGCTGAATGTCGCATACCCTTCGCCCCTCCTCCCCCGGTGTCTCCCACCCCAGGCCTCTCCCCTAACACCGTGGGTGCTTTGCACAACCTTAGTGTGGTCCTCCTCTGTTCTCTTACAACAAAACTCCTGCCTAGAGCCTTCAAGAGTCCCCTTCTTAAACTGGTTATCTCCCGGAGACACCCCCATCCCCAAAATCCCTGCCACACTAAGCCAGTAGCAATAGTGTCAACAGTGTCCTATATGTATCAACCCAAGGCTGGTCTCAGCGCTGTTTGAAGTCTGTCCTCTCCCATTCTCCCTTTCTACACCCCCACCGTTCTCCTCTGACTTACTCTGTTATCTGGCCATTATATCCATCATGCCCACTCTCAGCTGTCTACTGTCAGAGCATCCACACTTTCACAACTTCACTCCTGCCCTTCCTTCTTACGCCTCAAATGCAGCACGCTCTGTTTCCTCCAGAGTCTGCCTTCCCTCCAGCCCCTAGCAGGGACACCAGTCTTGCATGCCTTCTAATCCTTCAACGTTAGGGTTACCTTTGGTTTCAAATGACATAAAACTAACAATGTTCATCGTAACAAATTCAGACACTTCAAAAAGGTAGAAAGTGAAAAGTAAAAGCCCATATACCTCCCAATTCTGAAAGGTAACCGCTTTAAACAAGATGGTGTGTCCTTTTGGAAATTTCACATATCTATATATTTGAGTGTCTATCTTTTTTTAACTTAAAGATAAGCATATACTTTACATTCCATGCTGCAACTTGCCTTTTTCTCTCTGTGTATCTTGGTCATCTCTCCATATCTGCAGATACGGACTCACTTTGTTTTTATAACAGTGTCTTAGTGTGTCATTGTACCAAAGAATCGGGATTTGGTTCACAAGTTTAAGGTCATCTTTGAAGCTATTCTCCCTCCATTCAGCAACTCCCCCCAAGAAGTTACTTCTTTCTCTGCAAGTCACTGCATTCCTCCCTATCTTGCTGTTCTCTCGTCCTCATCTGCTGAGTGGACACAGACGACTGGACCTTCTTCTCCACCGTCCCCGTCTGTGATGATCCCGAATGTTCACTGCAGGTAATAGAGTGCATACGCTCTCAGCTTCCCGCATGCCCTCCTCAGGAAGGCCTGGCTTTGCCGCTGTGAGATGAGCTCCTCTTACCATATGCCAAACCTTATTCTACGAGCATTATAGCCTCATAACAACCTTCTAACGTAGCTACTGTCACTGCCATCCCCATTTTGGTGAGGACCAGGCTGAGGGAAAAAGAGCAAGTCATTTGTAAAAGGCCCCACAGCTAGTTCGTGGGATTTCAACCCAAGCAGCTATGTTCAGAGCAGAGGCAGTAGCTGCCATGTGGCTGGTCTGGCCCCAGCCAGTTTGGCTCAATGGATAGAGCTTCCACTTGTGGACTAACGGGTCCTGGTTCCAGTCAAGGGCATGTACCTCTGTTGCAAGCTCAATCCTTAGTCTGGATGCATGTGGCAGGCAACCAATCGATATGTCTCTCTCACATTAATGTATCTCTCTCCCTCTCCCTTCTACTCTCTTTAAACATTATTGGGGGGGGAAAATATCCTTGGGTGAGGATTAAGAAAAATTTTTGTAAAGTAATAATAAAAAAGTAATGTGGCCAGTCTGAATTAAGATATGCTGCAGGTATAAAATACACACCAGGTTTCTAAGACTTAGTGCCAATTCAAGAATGTGAAATACCTCATTAATAATTTTTACATTGATTACATGTTGAAATGATGATGTTTGAGATATATTAGTCTACCATATTTTTTAAAAATATATTTTATTAATATTTTTTACAGAGTGAAGGAAGAGAGAGAGATAGAGAGCTAGAAACGTCGATGAGAGAGAAACATCAACCAGCTGCCTCTTGCACACCCCCTACCGGGGATGTGCCCGCAACCAAGGTACATGCCCTTGACCGGAATCAAAGCTGGGACCTTTCAGTCCGCAGACGGACGCTCCACCACTGAGCCAATCCGGTTTTGGCTACCATATTTTTAAAAAATATACTTTATTGATTTTTTTACAGAGAGGGAGAGAGAGGGATAGTTAGAAACATCAATGAGAGAGAATCATTGATCAGCTGCCTCTTGCACAACCCCTACTGGGGTTGTGCCCGCAACCAAGGTACATTCCCTTGACCGGAATCGAACGTGGGACCTTTCAGTCCACAGGCCAATGCTCTATCCACTGAGCCAAACCGGTTTTGGCCTAACATATATTTTTAAAATTAATTTCACCTACTTAAAAAAAAAAAAAACCTTTTTAATGTGCCTATAAGATTGTTTAAAATGACATGTGACCTCATGTCATATGCCTGTTGGACAGCACTGCTCAAACACGGTCCCCAGCCCTCTGATCTGCGCTTGGAGAAGCTGGACACAGAGCTCTGAACCGCCTCAGGCCTCCTTTCCTCAGCTCACATCTGGCCCATCAGCTTCCTTCTTCTTGCTCACTGCAGTGCTGGGCAGGTACAAAGCTTGATTGCTTTGGCCTAAGCCACCCCGAAGTCTGACTCTGGGCCTCACTGCACAGCACACAGGGCCCAAAGGAGTGGGGTCTACGCCTTCCGCATCACATGCCGCATTGGCTAGTTCCCAAGGATTTGGGGTGGTAATACAGTGGCCACCAAGCTGACTGCCGGCGTGCTCTCGGGAGTGCCACTGGGACGAACCCTGTGAGGTCATGGCTCCTGAGACCTCACTAGGTCATGGTTTGGCCTTGGACCTCTTGTCTAGACTGAGCCAGAAATAGGGGTGGAAAGAGAGAAAACAAATATTTTCTGGGCCTTTTGACAAGCGAATCCCATGACTTCTAATGGTCTGCATTTTGACTCTGGATGCTGGAGTGTTACCAAACAGGCATCGAAGTGGGGACCCCAGGAAAGGGGGTGTGGGTGAGCGCTGTGTGAGCCACTTCAGCAGCCGCTGTGTCCTCCAGGCGGAAAAAATATCCTTGGGTGAGGGTCTCAGCTCTTCAAGTGAAGCTAGTCAGAGCTGTTTCCAATTTGCTTCCTGGAATCTGGGGAGGGCATGGGGTGTTTGTCATTACAGAATTTGCACTCCCATTAAAGCCAATTTTGGGAGCATTTCATCTGCAAGCAGGCCCCACCCCATTCCAACCACCAGCCCTTTCTCCCCCCCCAGTTGGGTCAGATTCAGGTATCCTCTCCTAATCACAACAAGACCTCCCTGTGAAATATTCCGGAGGCGGGGAGGCCTAGTGTGAGGGCAGGGCTGTGTGCTGTTAGTTCAGCTGTAGTTGGCGGCAATTACAATATTAAACAAGGCCCTAACTTTTGTATCACGTTTTGCTTTCAACGTCCATTATCTTGTTGGATTCTCAGAACAGTCCAGTAAGGCAGACCGGGTGAGTGTTATTATCTCCACCTGGTAGGTGAGGAGATGGAAGCCTAGATAAGAGGAAATGACTTTTCTAAGTCCCGTGACCAGTGAGTTACGGAGCTAGGACACGCACTGAGTCTTCCCAATCCAAGCCCAGTCATCTCCCTGGGTTTCCCTCAGTCGCCAAGTGTGGCTTTGTTACCCGCAGGTTTACTGAAACCGTTGGATACTGTTGCTCTTTATTTTATTTTACTTTTTATATATTTTATTGATTACAGAGAGGAAAAGAGAGGGATAGAGAGTCAAAAACATCGATCAGCTGCCTCCTGCACACCCTCTACTGGGAGTGCGCCCGCAACCAAGGTACATGCCCCTGACCGGAATCGAACCCAGGACCTTTCAGTCCGCAGGCCAACGCTCTATCCACTGAGCCAAACCGGTTGCTCTTTATATGAGTGACCATTTCACTCGAGGCTGGAGCAGCGATGAGCTGAGCACCTACTGCGTTTGGGGCGGGCACTGTGCTAGACTCTAGTGACATCACACAGAAAGACGGGCAGGGCCTCTGCTTTCTGGACCTTCCTCTCCAGGGGAAAGGCACAGGCAGTTCGCAAGCCAAGAAGCAAAGAAATTTCTAACCACGACTGGAGCCATGTGCTTTGAAAGGACAACCAGGGTGGTCTGAGCAAATCAGCAGGGCAAGACTCTCCGAGGAGAGGTTGTTAGACCTGAGGCTTGAAGGAGGAGGCAGGCAGCTCTCTGAGGGCTTTGGACAGAGGAGATTAGCAACAGGGGGCATTTTAGGCAGAGTTCTCCCTAACTGCTTTGCATTTACTGCATCACACACCTCGCAAGAAGCTTTGGGTACATTGTCTCATTATCTTTCTTTCTTTGTTTGTTTGTTTCTTTTTCTTTTTTCTTTTTTTTTCCTCTCATTTTCTTTCTTTTTTTTTTTTTTTTTTTTAATATATTTTATTGATTTTTTACAGAGAGAAAGGGAGGGAGATAGAGAGCCAGAAATGTCAATGAGAGAGAAACATCGACCAGCCGCCTCCTGCACATCCCCTACCCGGGGATGTGCCCGCAGCTAACGTACATGCCCTTGACCGGCATCGAACCCGGGACCTTTCAGTCCGCAGACCGACGCTCTACCACTGAGCTAAACCGGTTTCGGCCTCTCTCATTATTTTCTATTCCAACTCCACGTGGTAGATTTAGTATTATTCCTGTTGGACAGTTGAGGACACTTAGTGGCTGGTTTCTGGTTTCTCTTAACCACCCTACCTACCCATGAGTCCCAGCCTGATAACCAGCAGGTCAATTGTATTCATGCATAATTTACCCCACTGATCTGCAAGGTGAGATTATTCAGAACTCAGGCCTGGCAGGCTTGCTCAAGGCCCAGACGAGGGTCCCCAGAGTTTCTACTGGTAGACCATGTTCCCATAGAGTCAGCAAAAGACAGACCACCTTCTCACCCAGTCTGGGTGAGGGGCCCTTGGGAAGGAACCGGGGGTAAGGTGCCCTGAGGGTAGGGGAAGTGGGAGAAGGAGGAAGGCTGCCTCCCTGCCAGCTCAGGCTGGGGCCCTTCATGCCTAACGTTTTCCCAGAACATGTGTATTTATGCATCATTAGCTACTTAACGGAGAGATGCGCTAAGAGACCGGGGAAATTACAACCAGATGGAAGAACTCCATCCAAGCCCAGCACCTCATGATTCTGTGTTTGGGATTTAACCGTGGAACGTTTTTCCCTGTGGCAGGAATGCTGTCATGCAGCCTCCCCGAACTAAGATAATGTTTAAAAGATGAGGAAGGACCAATACTTTTCTATAATCAGTTGAATGGATATTTATGGAGCACCTGCTATATATAAAATATTTGCACACCCCTCCCTGGAGTCGGGGTGGGGGCCCTGTGCTGTGGGAGGTCAAAAGGAAGAAGGGATTAGATCTGGGTTGGGTTAGAAACACAGACACACACACACACACACACACAAAAAAAAAAAAAAAAAACCAGGAAGGGAGGGAACTTTTAAATCAGAGAGTATGAGTGTCCTTTTTTATGTAGGCCACTGCCTTGATTTCCCTTTGCTGTGGATGTTCTCAAATACTCACTAATCAAACAGGTATTTCTTGCACACCCACTGTGTGCAGAACAGTTGGAAGCCCCAGGATATAGCAGGTTAGCTGCGATCCCGCTCCCAGGGGGCTTCCGTTTCCATGGGAGGCACATGGGAGAGGCAGCAGGCCCAGTAGGCAGGTGAACAGGAAATGCAGCCAACACGGGTGGGCCTGCAGGGCTGAAAGGACACGGGCAGGGAGCTGGGTTCCCAAGGGAGGGCTGCCCGGCAGGCCTTGGAAGAAGCGCTATTTAAGCTGAAACAAGGGATAAGGAGCTGCAGGCCAAAGGGTGGGGTCCAGGGTTTCAGAAAAAGGGGCAGGATGGAGCTTGGTTGGAGAAGGGGGTGTCTGGAGGAGCTTTGAGAGAGGGGAGGAGCTGGGATTGGGGAGTGGGGAGGATCATTTAGGGCCACATCCTCAGGGATGCTGATACTGCTCTTTGCAACCCCAGCCAGTGGAGTAAGACCATCCAGGAAGTGATGAGGCTGAGCTGTGCTTTTCAAGGATCCCTCCGCTTCAGCTGGGAGCGTGCAGGAGGGGAGGGAGGAGGTCTTTGCAAGGTCCAGGCATGGACTGAGCTGATGGCATCCGGGTGTGCTCTTGGTTCAGCCCCTGGAAATACCTGCTAACACTCCAGAGAGGCTCCTGATGGAGAGTCAGAACCCAGGAGGCGGCCCGCCACTCCCAGTCATCCTGGCTAAGCTCCAGTGCGCATCTGTCAAGACAACAGGAGGTTCTCTCCAAGCACCGGGATCCTGAGGGAGGAAAAACATCAGCTTACATTTCCAAAGCCGAGCGTGTGTGTGTGTGTGTGTGTGTGTGTGTGTGTGTGTGTGTGTGTGTGTGTGTGTGTAAAATGATAAAATGCACACTTTCAAAGAAATCTCCCTATTGCTCTCATAGCTTTGCCACACACTTCAAGGTCCCTTCTGTCATGTGGGATATTCAGGAGGAAAAAAATCAAAGAAACGCTGACATAATGGAAAGCATGTGGACATTAGGGTCAGCCAAACCCAAGTTCAAATATAACTCCTGCCATGAACTGGTTGTATAAACATGACCAAACTGGCCTCTCTGAGCTTCATATTCCTCTTCCATAAAACAGGAAAAAACATCAGGAGGAGGGAGTAAGGTGCAGTGGGTGAAGGGTGGTCTTCAGAGCCCCTTGGACCCGGGTTCGAGTGCTGTCCCCACTGTTCCAATGGTGTGATTGCGGGCAAATCGTTTGAGTTCTCAGAGCCTCTGTTTCTCCATCTGAAAACGAGAACAATTGGTTTTCCACCTCCGTCCGGTTTATTGTAAACTTCACAGAAGAGAATTCAGGTGAAGAGCTTCACTCCGAGCCTCTGCCTCAGCTCCCCCATCTGTCACTGAAGAGGCTGGAGGAGACCATTCCTTGGGGCCCTCCCCAAAGTTTGTGATTCTGAATTTCTTTAGAAAACCTTGGGAGGGTTAACCTCTCTGGATTCCTTGGGGCCATGGCACCCCACCCCAGGTTTTCTCACCCCTTCAGTATGGTGAGTATAGGGGAAGAGGAGGACAGACTAGAGGGTGGGGACACAGGCTGGGAGCTGGCTATTGGAGCATTGTTTTTCTTGGAGGTGCCCCGGGGCCAAGGAGACTCTCCTGTCCCTCCCTCTAGGTTTGGAACCAGAACCTAGTCACCCCGCCTTTATTTCCAAAACAGTTCCTGGCACCGGTGGGAACCTCCAGGCTCCAGCTCTGAGAAATCCCTCGCTCCCTGCTGGTTCCAGAGCCCGCTCCTCCGCCTGCCCTGGCCCAGCTGTCACTGAGCATTCCCCCTGCTGTTCACAGAGGCCGGCATGGGCCAGACAGCAGGCCCTGCTCCCTCTGGCCCAGCATGTGTGGCTGAGAGTGGGGGTCAGAGAGAGGGGATGGGGACTGATGCCCATGGCTCCCCTCTCTCCTGCCTGTCTTCATCCAGCTGTTCACAGGACTCTCAGAGTGCCTGGGAGACTGGCTTCCACCGCTTCCTTCCTTTCTCCCTTGTCTAAAGTGACAACTTCCTAACCCAGTTCAAACCTGCTGGGCTGATCAGTCACCCTGACTCGTTTCCCAAGATCCTCAGCAAGTCAGCAAAGGAAGGAGATGGGAATCCTGAGGCCTGGGGGGTGTCTGGGGCACCGTTTTCCAACAGCACATCATGAGTGTAACACTCCCCAGCATTGGCCCCATCTGCCTACCCACCTCTGCTATCACTGATGCCACCCATGCGAAGTGTGCATGTTCCCAGCTACATCATACCACAACTTTATTTATTTATTTATTTATTTTAATATATTCTTATTGATTTTAGAGAGGAAAGGAGAGGGAGAGAGATAGAAACATCAATGATGAGAGAGCATCATCGACTGGCTGCCTCCTGCACACACCCCACCAGGGATCAAGTCCGCCACCTGGGCATGTGCCCCGACTGGGAATCAAACCATGACCTCCTGGTTCATAGGTCGACGCTCCATCACTGAGCCACACTGGCTGGGCCACATATTTGAAGGAAACCATGGATCATTTCTCTCTGTGCACAGCTCCCCCCAGCCAGCTGTCACTGGGCCATAAGTCCGGCTACTCCAGAGTGCGATGGTGTGATGATGCGTAACGCACCCCAAAAACCCTCCAAGGTATATTCTGGGCCCATGACTCAGCTCACCCATGTACACTGAGTGGCCAGACTATTATGATCTCTGAATGCATAATTATCTGGCCACTCTGTGTGTGTGTGTGTGTGTGTGTATTAGAGGCCCAGTTCATGAATTCATGCATAGGTGGGGTCCGGCCAGCCTGGCCAGGGGGAGGGGCCATGGGTGGTTGGATGGCCTGTCTGCTGATCAAACTCCTGGTTGAGGGGACAATTTGCATATTATATAGAATATTTGCATATTATATAGGATATTATTATATAGGATATACACTAAGTGGCCAGATTATTATGCGCTCAGAGATCATTATAATCTGGCCACTCAGTGTATAGATTCAAGACATTGTCCAGCTACTTGTATGTGATGAAGGAGAAAGCAGGAGTCAGAAATATAGTTTCTCCCAGCTACCTCCTCCCCCTCTACCTCCCCCCCTCCCCAGTGCCTTTCCAACTGACCCCCAGTCTGCTCAGCGGGACTCACCTGCTCCCTGCTCTCTTGCCTCCTCCAGGTGACCACCATGATCCCCTGGGTGCTCCTGGCCTGTGTGCTCCCTTGTGCGACCGACCCTCTGCTTGGTGCCCTCGCTCGCAAGGATTTCCAGAAGGGCTCCCCTCAACTTATCTGCAGCCTACCTGGTCCCCAGGGTCCCCCTGGCCCCCCAGGAGCCCCAGGGCCCTCAGGAATGGTGGGAAGGATGGGCTTTCCCGGCAAAGATGGCCAGGATGGCCAGGACGGGGACCGGGGGGACAGCGGAGAGGAAGGTAAGAGTTTAGGGGACACGAATATAAATATTTTCTATATAATCACTGGCCAAAAATGTTGTTTTGAGAGAAATGCACATTTTGTAAAACATGGGTCCTAGGGACCCAGAGGCATTCTACAGGAACCATTCTGCAGGGCGTGCTGTGATTGGCGTGTGCTTACTGTGGGCCAGGCACGCTTCTAAGCACTCACATGAGTATAGAAAGAGCGCTGTAGGTTTCCTTTGAACAAAACACGGGTCTGCTGCCTTCTCTTTCCTCTTTACAGGGTATTTTAGAGAAGTTTTCATACAGTGCACATGAATCTGCCTCGTTTTTAAAAACTCCTTCGTAGAATTGCACGTTATGGATGGACCATCCTTTTTTAATCTTTTCCCTTTGGACGGGCCATGAGTCGTTGTTCCCGGTGTTTGCTGTTGGAAGCGGCACTGCACTAACCACCCTTGCACTTGTGTGCAGGGATCTGGGCACTAGGCAGGGGGCGCACTAAGATCAATGTTTTGAGGTCAAAGGCTTCTTCCAACTCCCTCCTTAACCCACGACCAGCACAGCCATCGAAGTTCTGTTCTGCCAGACAAACCAGACCCTTCCTCTGAAGGCAGGAAGAGAAAAGGCTGTGGCCTGGCTGGCGTGCTCATTGGTTGAGCCTCCACCTATGAACCCAGAGGTCATGGTTCAATTTCAGGTCAAAACACATGCCTGGGCTATGGGCTCGATCCCCAGTAAGAGGCGTGCCAGAGGCAACTGATCCATGACCCTCTCTCATCCCTGATGTTTCTATCTCCCTTTCCCTTCCTCTCTGAAATGAATAAAATATATTTTTTTTAAAAAGAAAGAAAAGGCTGTGAATTATGTTAGTTTTGCCCTGATCTTCATTGATTCTGAAAGGTAAGCATTTCCGTTCCCGATTTCCTGGTTTCCAGATGGTACTGGGACACGTGCCCCAGCTTCCACCATTAGGACTTGTACCCATTTCCAGGTGGCTCCATTGCCCTCTTGTTCTTCCCATCACCAAAGACTGTGCTCCAAAGAGGGAGAGCCAGGGCCCGCAGCCTCAGCTAGCTCTTTGAGGCCCCTTCTTAACACCAGCCGCTCTGTCTTCCAGGTCCACCCGGCCGGACAGGTAACCGGGGAAAGCCGGGACCAAAGGGCAAAGCCGGGGCCATCGGGAAGGCTGGCCCTCGCGGCCCCAAAGGGGTGAGTGGTGCCCCCGGGAAGCACGGCACACCGGGCAAGAAGGGGCCCAAGGGCAAGAAGGGGGAGCCGGGCCTCCCGGGCCCCTGCAGCTGCGGCAGTGGCCAGGCCAGGTCGGCCTTCTCGGTGGCCGTGACCAAGAGCTACCCACGGGAGCGGCTGCCCATCAAGTTCGACAAGATCCTGATGAACGAGGGCGGCCACTACAACACGTCCAGCGGCAAGTTCATCTGCAGCGTGCCGGGAATCTACTACTTCACCTACGACATCACGCTGGCCAACAAGCACCTGGCCATCGGCCTGGTGCACAACGGCCAGTACCGCATCCGGACCTTCGACGCCAACACGGGCAACCACGACGTGGCCTCGGGCTCCACCATCCTGGCCCTCAAGCAGGGAGACGAGGTCTGGCTGCAGATCTTCTACTCCGAGCAGAACGGGCTCTTCTACGACCCTTACTGGACCGACAGCCTCTTCACCGGCTTTCTCATCTACGCCGACCAGGAGGACCCCAACGAGGTGTAGCCAGGCCGGCGCTCCGTCTCCGGGGGGAGGGCACACACTCCTGGTCCGGTGCTCACAGAGCAAGACCCCTGCACTGTCTGCTGGGGCCGGGAGTCGGGAGCTTCTGGACTCAGGGCCGACCTCCTCTGCCCCCTTTTTCTCCATCATTAAATCCAAGCTTTTTTATTCATGCTCCCATTTCTCCATTCATGTGTGTGTGTGTGTGTGTGTGTGTGTGTGTGTGTGTTTTCTTTTTCTTTTTCTTTTTAGTACCTACTGTGTGACAGGCACCAGGCTCTACTCTGGAAGGTACCACCGTGAACAAGACAGACAGAGGCTTTGGCCCCATGGGGCTTACATTCTAGTGGGAGATACACTTTACACATAAACAAGCAAGTCATGTAATTATCGTGCCAGGGTGGAAATGCACACGCCATGGCCAAGAGTAATCGGAATAACAGGAGCCAGGGAAAGAGGTGGAGGTTTGTTTTGGGATTCCATTTTGTCAGGTTTACTACATGCAATAAAGTCTACACATCTTACATGGACAAGTGAGGGGGGGTGCGTACATCTGGGAGGGTCTTCCCATGCTGACTACTGGATTGGACTGTGACCAAGGGGAGGCAAATGAGGCACTCACCTAACAGGTGCCCCAAACCTCAGCAATCAGTAGAACTAATATTGTAATGTAATATTTTAATACATTGAAAGTAATGCAAAAAAAAAAATCTCTGTGGTGAAGAAACTATAGAAATTTTAAATAACGAGGGAAGTCTGGTAGCTGGAATTAGGATGAGGCAAGGGAGGCTGAGGCTGCAGCTGTAGTGTGGGACCCCTGGGCAGCCAGGCCCTCCGGTGGAAATTCTCTTTTCCTGTCCTGCCTGTCATCTCCCCTAATTCCAGCAGGGGGAGCTTGCCTACTACGCAAACCTTCAGTGCTAGGGCTTACTGGCTGAAAGACCAGCTAGTCTCATCTCAAGGCTGTTTTCAGGGCCAAAGACAAAAGAGAGGGAGGAAAGAGAGGGAGGGAGACATTCTGGTCGTTGTTTTATGTGACCATGACCTTTGTCTGGGGAAAGAACAAAAATTAAACCCAAGAGCTGCGATGAGCCGGTTTGCCTCCGCGGAAAAAGCGTTAGCCTGCGGACTGAAGGGATCCCAGGTTCGATTCCCATCAAGGGCATGTACTTCGGTTCAGGCTTGATCCCAAGCCCTGGCTGGGGCACGTGAGGAGGCACCCAATCGATGTGCCTCTCTCACATGGATATTTCTCTGTCTCTTCCTCCTTCTTCCTTCCATTCTCTCTAAAAATCAGTGGGAAAAACATCCTCAGGTGAGGATCAACAAAAAATAAAAATAAACTCAAGAGCTGTATGTCTTCCTAGCCTTTTCATTAAAGGATTTTGCACACCTTCTAAGCTGCAGTCACAGCTGGTGGAGGGCAGGAATATGACAGCAGTTGTCAGGGAGACAGAAAACCTGGGTTCCAGCCTGAGTTCTGTCTTCAGGTTCCTTGGTCTGATTCAGCCAAGACTTTTCTGGTCTGGTGGCCTCAGTTTCCCCATCTATAAAATGAAGGCTTGGCTCCGATGATCTCTGAGCGCATTTTGGCACTAAACATTTACGTTTCTGTCTCCAAAGCAGAGCCAGGAAGAGCATTCCTGAAGCATAAATTGAAACAGCCGGGCCAATCAGGCCGGCATGTTCTGAGGCCTTGAACTTTGACATTCGGCCCTCTGCTCCCACCAGATTGCTGGGCTAGAACTGAAGTCGTGACCAACTGTTAGTGGACATTAGCCATATGCTGCGTGTGACGTATATTGTTCCTTTTCAGCTTCTCAACACCCCTGCTTCCCAGGTGGAGAACTCAGTCCTAGGAAAAATGCCACGGGGCACCTCGCTGGGAAAGGCATTGCTGGGATTGGAACCAGGGGCGACCCTGGCCAGGCCCTGCCTGTGCTGCTCTGTGTCCCCTGTAGGAGGGCGGCCATGAGGAGTGCTCTGACACCGAAGCTCCCCTGAGTGGTAGGGGGTTGGGCCCCAAACACTTCCCTCCCACAAAGCATAGTCCTGCCTAGTGGATTAAGGATTTCCTGCCAGGTCAATGGACATCTCCTAAGCACTTGTGTGGCAAGGCCGGGGTAGGCACCTGTGGTCCCCAGACAGCTGGGGAGTCAGAATCCCCCAGAGCAGATGGGGCTGCGACCAGGGGAGAGACAGCTGCATTGGCTCTGCCCCCTCAGCTTCCCAGGTGCAGCCTGTGACTCTGGTCCTGGCAGCTCCTCAGCCATCCCTGAGGTATGGCCTCCCCAAGCTCTGGGCCCCGAGAAACCGAAAACAGGAAAGACTCCCATTCTTCTTCTTAATGGGGTGGGGGTGGGCCATGTGTGTATTCCTTTTTCTTCATCCCCCGTCCCCCTTGCTGTCCACAGCTGACCTGAGGCCCGGGTGACATTGGAAATGGAGGCGCAACTCCTCAACCAGCGTCCTCGGCTGGAGGGGTTCCGTGCTTGCTCACCCCTAACAACCTCGCTGAAATTCCCACCAGCCCTCTCTTCCTGCTTCAGAGACAGAAGCCTACACAGAAATTCTCAGAGAGGGCCCACAGATGGCTGTGGGCACATTGTTCTTTTTTTAAAAAAGTGACATTTTTTCATCTATTTTATCATTTTGTCTCGTTAGAAAGAAGAAGGAAGGGTTCCATTTCATCACTGGCATTTCTTTTCCTTGATGCCCTTGTAAGCCTGAAAGCGCCATGCAACCCCTCCCTTGAGTAAGCGGTTTTCGAGCTGAGGCTGATAATGACCCAAAATGGCTCCTAGAGGGCAACGTTCATAGTCCACGTGGGGCTCCTTTGTCCCTTAACACTCATTAATGTATGAGCTTAATTACATGGAGATCAAGGGCCTTGGAGGTGAAAGGCTAACGAGGGCATTAAATCCGGACCCACTTCTCAGCTGCCCCGGGGACTTGGCAGAACTGTGTGGGCAAATCGCTCCTGCAAAGCTCCCCATCCCCTGGTTGGAGTCCCGGCCCAGGCGTCCTACAACCAGAACCTGTTCGGAGGAGGATGGCCAGGGTCTGGGAGGTCCACCTTCTATAAGCAACAGAGAGGAGAGAAAAATGGGAATCCTGAGGGAGCCTGCCCACCCCAGAGCAGTAATTTTTTTCACCTGGTGTGCCGCAAGAATTTTTAAAATGTGCAATACCTGACTATGTCGTCAGGGCTACTGGCCTTTTCCCTTAGATTGTCAAATAAAATTTTAAAAATGACAACAGCCAATAGAACAATAGCCATCCATTAATAGCCATGAATTAATCAAAATTACACCTATTTTTTTGTCAGGCACATCTTTTGGTGTGCTGCAGATTGGAGTTATTAATGTAGGTCATGAGATGAAAAAGGTTGAAAATCGTTGTTGCAGAGGGCAGATCTTGAACAACTGGTGGGCTTCATCCAGAAGCCAAATCGGGCCAGTTTATTTGTTCAATAAATGTTATTAAGCCTCCACTATGTGCCACGCACTGAGTCAGGCAGTGGGGATACTGGGATGAGCAAATCCTAGATCTGGTTTCCATCTTCCTAGAGCTTAAAGTGTAGCACAGGTGGCAGGCATTGGATGGGTGACCACACCAGTAGGTGCAAAATGTCTGAGACAATGGTGCCGGGAAAAGGGCAAGGTGATTTGTCCTGGGAAGAGTGTCGAGGAGAATTCTACAGGTGGAGTGACAACAAGAGCTGGGAACTGCAGGCGGAGTGAGTGCAGGGAGCGGGGTGGGACCAGGGCAGGAATAAAAGAGGACATCATCCTTAGCTGGTTTGGCTCAGTGGATAAAACATCCAACTGCGGACTGAAGGTTCCTGGGTTCCATTCAGGTCAGGGGCACATGCCCAGGTTATGGGCTCAGTTCCCAGTAGGGGGTGTGCAGGAGGCAGTGATCAATGATTCTCTCTCATCATTGATGTTTCTATCTCTTCCTTCCTCTCTGAAATCAATAAAAATATACTTTAAAATATTTTTTTAATGATAAAAGAGAACTTCAGAGACTGGTAGGTCAAACTAAAGACTTCTGTCTTGACCTTGCGAATAACGGAAGGCCATTGAATGATGTTAAGTGGACAGGTGACAAAAGCAGATGGGTATTGAGAGCCATAAAAACATTTCAACTTCACCTAAAGAATAGCTTCCTAAGACAATGCTTGACCTTGAGAACATAATAACAATAAACATTTATTGGCCTCCAACTATAATAGGTATGAAATGCCATGTGCTTCTCATGGCTTAATACTTGGTCATGAGAACAACATATCAGGTAGGTGTGTTGCAATGAGGGAATACAGGTGAGGAAACGGAAGCTCAGAAAGGTGAGGGAATGGAGGCTCAGAAAGGTCTAGAAAGCTATGTGAGGTCAGTTGGCGAAGTTGCTGAGCTCACATCCTAGTCCATCTGACCCTAGAGGCTTGGAGGCCTCGCTCCTAATGATTGCAGCACCGGAAGCTACAAGGGACTACAGCCTTGCACTGTGGGACCAAGAAAGTCGATACTTTTCCTGTCACCCTCTAAGTTCTTCTAGCTGGGCAATAATCAACTTAACAGACAAATTAACAGGAGAAAAATCACATGTTTACAGTCCTGCACATGGGGAATTCACATAAGCATAAACATTCCAAAGACAATGAGGCAACATGGGGTATATAAGACATTCTGGACAAAGGAGAAAGGGAAGGGGGTCTTAGATTTCAGAAGTAAGAATGGGCCCTTTAGCCCTGACTGGTTTGGCTCAGTGGATAGAACGCGGGCCTGTGGACTCAATGGTCCCGGGTTCAATTCCAGTCAAGAGCATGTATCTTGGTTGCAGGCACATACCCAGTCAGGAGTGTGCAGGAGGCAGCTGATTGTTTGTTTCTCTCTCATCGATGTTTCTGACTCTCTTACTTTCTCCCTTCCTCTCTGGGGAAAAAAAAAAATCAATAAATATATTAAAAATAATAATTTAAAACATTAAAAAATATAAAAAGA